GGGTTGAATCGCAACCCTGGCATTGTTGAGCGACTACAGAGCATTTCATCTTTTATCTCATCGGTCTATCATAGAGACCGCGCTTCGTCTCCAGTCTTGAAACAACCATGGTTCTAGGCAACGCAGGTTCAGACGCTGGGGGCTCTAGTCGCGAGTATGGAATCAATTTCGAAGTCGCGCCTCCGACTGCTGTCTCCCCTGGGGTTTCCATATCATTACCCGTGGTTGTTGTTGTGAGACCGGTAGGAGCTCCGAGAGCCCCTACACAGCAACTAGTTGCGCATATATCGCTCAGGAACGAAAGCGGGACTGCCCCTGCCCCAGGGCTTACGGGAGTTCTTACGTCCAGTGTGCGCAGCAGCAGTGGGAATACGACCAGCGGTTATGCGCGGTTTGGGCCCCTCAAGTTCACTCAGGGTGGGAGGTTCAGGATGCGGGTCATGCTCGGTGCCGCCTCGTCCAATGGTGTATCTACGAGGGAGTATGTTGATTCTGGAATCATCACGGTACAGGCGGGTGCTGCCCCTCCGCGTCTAAGTACGTATACCGTCTTTTGACCCAGGTTGCCGATAACTGACTTAGCGATAGCACCTGCACAAGTCGTCAAGCTACAGAGCCTGATGTCTGAGAACATTGACATCACAGCGGCAGACATCGCAGCATGGCAGGCTGCTTGAAGATGAATTCAGGAACTCCCCATCTTACCGCTTGCTCCCTCGTGTTGATCGCGAAGTTCTAGAATGGATTACGAGTTATGAGCTCTTTCTGTGGCACTATTCCGAATTAATTTAGCTGAGAGAAGCAGCTTGCTGTGACTGCCGGCAGTGTGAAGCTCCATGAGGCAACGTCAATGAGAGGATACGCCCCGGGCATGGCCCCAGATACAAGAAGCCAGTCATTATTAGATCTTAATCATTAATTCGATTGGAAGAAACAGTGTACCAGAAGCACAACTTGAAGCAGCTGCACATAAGACCTAAAGCATTTCCCCGGGCTTTTATGGGGTTGTTTTCTTTTCTCCATAGCCGGTGGCACTTTATATCCAAGCATCAGCAAAGCATACTCCTCTCTTTACTAGCCCTATCACCTCCAGCTACACCTCCTCCCACTCATGTCAAACCACTCAATGCACAAACTCACCAACCAAGCAGCATCACAACCACAATCACTCCCGTCCCGTTTCGCATCCACCCGAAGCACCAACAAGCCCTCAAGACCCCCTCTGCATTCCTTCATTCCTTCATTCCGATCCCATCCCGATGACCCAAGATCTGCATACATTCCAGTGCAACGCGACTACACGTCAAGAAGGCCCGCATGCTTCTAATACCAAGTCCCTCTTGCTGACCTCTTCCTTTTTCTACTATGCATGATTAGGCACCGCAACAAATATGCTGTGTTAGCATTGAGAACACCCACGTTCCGCAAGGGATGATGCACCCGTACAAAACCATGGACATACTGAGCCGAATACCGACTGATTCTCAATGCCTGATCCTGCTTAGCTTGCCTCCTCCTCGTCCTTCTTTTGTCCCTTTTGCTGTCTTCTATACTTGAAATCCAACCCTTGTAAACTTCCCAGACCGAAGTCTCCAGCTATGTGTCAAAAGGCCAAAATCTGTTGGCTCACTCGATCAGCGAGTGCAGAACTCGTTGTATCGAAGATGAGCTTTGCTTAATATAGGACAGGAGAATATCCTTACTTTGAACTAGTCAAATTTCGGGCCGGAAAGTCACGTAGACTGAGTTCTCAGCGAATAATCTCTCCGGCGGCATATGGAACATCTACCGTGGAATATGTTACTTGCTTGGTTGGGACAACAAATCCCCCCGCTACGGAATACGGTTCGGCTGTTCTCGGATTGAGTCATTGGTACGTGGATTCACAATCGTGGATGTATAAATCGAAGGGACAAAGAGTGAGGGTCATGGTTTCAAAAATAAAAAAAAAAAAAAATAAAAAAAAGCCCTTGCAGCATGAGGTTATGCGTGAATGAGTTGGTGCCAAAGAGAATAATACTGATTGTCTGGCTCTTAGCCGCAAGTACATACAGAGAGGCTACCTACTCACCTCTCATCTTGTGCATCAGGGATCTGTAGCAAGGATATCATATAATACTCTTCCATGCGGCGACTACTTGAACCGCCCGAATTGCCGAGTGCATACTACGGTATGAGACTACATTATAGCTACACAGACCAAGGACTATGGATAGGGATAAGAGGCTTGCATAGATAAGCTACCATTGATTCAAATTCGAGTACGATAATCGCTATGGATATCAACATATGCACCCAATCCACTCGGTTCCGGCAGATAGTCTATATCGACAAACAGAAACATAACTTAGGGACCGGATATCCACATGGCATCTTTCACACATCAACGAGCCAAACGCTCAAGCAGAGTATCAAAGCTCCCTGAAGTTATAACGAGTCGAGATATCTGCCAAGTTCTCCAGTTCACTAAGCCCAACAACAGGCTTCGGACACTGGCACATCCTCAACTCTCAATCCGCGAGGAAAGAAACCATTCCCTTGTCTCGAGCGGGACTCAATCCATCACGTTCCTCCACACTACTCTCTCATTTATATGAAGCGAGATGCTCGCACCTCAAAGCCTCTCAACGGTAAATGAACCGCTCCAAACCCTCCTCGCCGGAATATGAAGACGCAGACGAGGAAGAAGACGAAGACGAAGATCGTAAGGCGGCCTTTCTGCCTCCATGATGTTCCGCCAAGCAGGGCGAGCCAACCCCCGACTGTCCTTGCAGTGGCAGTGGAGGGGCCCTTGACTTAGAGCGGAAGATTCTTCGGAATGAGAAACCCTTCGTGAGCAGAGGATCTAGAGATCGTGGTTTCTGGGGGTGTTTGTGTTTGTGTTTTTGACGTTGGTGTTGGTTGTGATCGGCCGGGATTCAATCCTTGGTGTGGTGGTTGTGCAGCAGGCGGTCGACACCGCCGCGCACGGTGTCGCGCAGACTAAAGCCGCCGAAGAGCCAGTCGTTCGAGTGACGGCCGCAGTGGTTGACGGTGCCGCTGTAGCGGCGGTAGTCCTCGGTGCTCTTGCGGGAGTAGGCGGAGGAGGAGGAGGAGCGCTTGTGGGTGTGGGTGTGGTCGTCGTAGACCTGGGTGGCTCTTGAGGGGGTCATTTTGATTGATGTAACGTGTGGCTTGGTTTTGCGTGAGACAATTCTTTGGGTTGTGGTGGTGGTGGTGGTGGTAGTAGTAGTTGTAGTTGTAGTTGTCTGAAGATAAGTAAAGCCTGATTCAGCTTAAGGCCTCGACTCGGATGTTAGATAAAAACACAGAAATGTAGAACAGGAATTTCCAAACCAGCAGAAGCCAGGGAGTGAGAAAGTATTTATGCACCACCTCTGCTAATCTAACCCCTCAATTTCATTTCCATTGCAGACTACCGACTTGGCTCCGCTACCAGCAATCAGGGGCCCATCGGGGGCATAGCGGGAGAGCCTTAGTGTCGGACATAGGCGGGCTGGCGAATCGGGCGACGCCAGCACGCAGCAAAGGCTCCATCGATAGGGCTCACTGACTCACCATGGCAAGTCCAAGTGGAGCGGTGAGGATCCTGCTGCTTCCCCATCCTCCCCACCCCTCTGCCCTACGAGTCGGCCGGTGTGCCAATCACACTGCCAGCCCAGTCCTGTCGACCCCGTCAGGAGGCTCCAATTCACCGCTGCCTATTCTTTAGCCCTTCGTATTCGGCATGCAGACCTGTTCCTTCCAGTCCATCTCCAGAAAGAAAAACGTGGACAACTCACACTCTCTCATCCAGACTCTCATCTCACTCCCGTACGGCATCTACCACCAATCTCAACCCTTGAATCGAATTTTTCCAGAACAGAACCCCCCCCCCCCCCCCCCCCCATCTAACAGCTTCACAGTTGACAGCGACACAACGACACCCTCCGGAAATTGCCACGCAGGTGGCGGATCCCTCAATGGTAATGACATCCCAACCGCCCCCTCCCCCCCATCTGACCACCGACCACCTAGCACCTCTCCCGTCTCAACACAAACATACACACAACCCCAAAATCACGCGCAAATCCGCCCCCACACCGTCGAACAAGCTAACTGGGACCCCACTCCCCCCACCCGGACAATCCATCCAATAAGCACCAGCGGTCAGAATGGTAGGGCTCACTAGGGCTGATAGTCCGGTTGTTAGCGCTTCAGCCTTTTGAGGGGGGGAGGAGATCTTCCTTTTCTCACTTCCATTGATTCCGTCCGTTCCGGGAGCATCCCCATCTCCGCCAGGTCGAATTTTCTCAGGGGGGAGAAACACAGGTATATGTACAGTAACTTGGCAACCGGGAGTCTAACTGTGAGGAGGTTGAGGTGCAATATCTAGAGCCAAATGCTTCACAACGTTCCACGGACCAACTCACTGGCCAGGTGTACATGCGCATGGGCTTTAACTCGCAGCTCGACAATCACAAATACCTCCTCGTTTTTGTTCGAAAACAACTCAGTGGACTACATTCCCCTGGCCCAGATACTGATACTGATACTCAGTGCGACATGAGAGATTAACCAGCACCAGCTCAACTACTCCCGCATAGTGCGTAAACATTCATCCTCGCAACTCGATGTTGTGGCACTCGAGGAGTCAACTCGCAGAGATAACATCCGCGGAGATCCACTACCAGTGCACCGAGTAGACGAATCACCCATTCACACCTCAAAACCCCCGACTCCCATCCCCACTCCCAGTGGGTATTTGAGGCTCTTTCTCGGACCCAATGACCTCATCTCCAGCTGGGCCAAGCGCGACGGCATGGAGATGCCGCGTGAATTCGGCACGGTCGTTCCGGGTTCCTGTCAGTCTGTCTCTTTGACAGTTCCAAATGCACGGTTTCGTGCACTGATACAAGGCTAAAGATGCGAGGTTGCCCTGCGTTGCCCTGCGGTAGATTACTCTGCAAGGGGTTTTTCCTACCAAAGAATGTGCTGCAAGAAGCCCAGTAGTTTTGAGGTATGATTATTTGTCCATGTCCCCATGTCCCCAATCACCGCCCGCAACACGCGAATGACCCGACCGCGCGCATATTCTGTCCTTCATGTAAACATGCAAATGACCTATTCCCGTATATCATGTATATCAGATGCCCGAAGCATAATGCTAATAACAATTAGAACAAAAAAAAACATGGTGAGAATGAGAAGCAGAAAAACAAGCAGAAACAAAGCCCACATCACTCTCCCCACATCACTTTCGAGCACAATAGCCTGATATAAATGAAGGAGAGCCCCGATCAAACAACGACACCATGCAATGAACAGCCTAAAACCATCCCGCAAAAACAATACAGCAGCATCTCACTCTTCCTCAAGCGGCCACAAGCTCGCGCTCGGCCGTTTCCAAGACCGCGGCTGCTCCGAATGACACCGCCGATGATTCCTCTCCGCCAGCAGATCCATTGCTCGCCCCCGACGACCACCACGACCACCTGCAAGGTCCACTACCGGCACCGACAACAACTCGATAGGAGTTGAATCCACCTGCCCAGCAGCGCTTAACCCCCCAGCACGCTGCGAACTCGGCGGCGAAGGCACCAAGTATGAAGTAAAGAGTACTTCCTCTCCACCGCCGACCGGATACTGGTTCGTCGTTGTGGGCATTACGAACAACGACTTCGCCTTATCCAACGGCGGACGCACCATCTTCCTAAACGGTCCTCCATGTCCACTAGGGGCCGCATGATCGATCCGCGGCGAGGAACCCCCTCGCGCGGAGGACGACCACCACGACGACCACCACCGGCGAGGCCGAGCATCCGATGCCACGGCTGGCATAACCCTTGTCCTCGTCAGCGAGGGCCCAATCCCCGCGGACGCCGCATCATCCTCAAGTAAGTCTTCCGACCCAACGGGGACGAGGAAATGCTGTTCAAAGAGTTGCTGGTAGGACTTTTGTTGCTGCTGCTGCTGCTGCTGGTGTGCAGACTGGAAAACCACAAAATTTCGCCCCAGCGGCTGGTGCGGTGTTCCACCACCGCAATAAGGCCAGGAGTGGCGTCGTCGATGATGCTCGCGATGATGGTGGACCAAATATGGCATATCCACACTTCCACGCAGCTGTGATCAATATCGGAATCGACAGCGCGACTCGTAAGTTCAAGAGTTAGGACGTCTCACAAGCGTTTAAAGCTGGAGAACACAACAGCGAAAGACGGAGTGAATAATAAAGAGAGACCAAAAGAGACTAAGAGTCACCAGGCTCTGCAATTAGTGAGTAGGTGAGAAGTCGAGTGAGTCAAAAGTAACAACTCAAGAATCCTTCTTGAATAGAATACAGAGTTCGATTGACCCCGGGCTTCAGGGCAATCAAAAACCACCAGTCATCATGCAATAAAATAGATAACACATATCAGCAAGGAAAAGCGTAGCTAGGCATTGACGCTCCTTAAAAAAGGGCATACCAGCCGTAGCCGCAGCAGCAGCCTTTTCGTGTATCAGAGTCATGAGGCCTGCACGTGCGAGGCGCACGCGGCGCAGAGTCAATGTCCCCCGATCGCCCAGAAGAGAAGAAGGCGGAGGGAGATCACCCGCCCTAAGTAAAGCCCTGTGCACTTACAGGTGTGGACACTTGATTTGAGGGGGTTTGTCTGCAAGTCATACGGGACAGAACTGGACAGAAAGTTACCGCCTAGCTTTAGTTCGAGTCACGGAATGACTACATAATGTGGCTGGTTTCGCTCGTCAATGACGAAGACTGGGTTATCCAAAAATATTGAGTCAAGTAAGCGAAATCATTTGTCGAATGAGATAGGTCGGTATATTTATCATTTCCCAGGCACACTGCGACACGAACCGCAGCTGTGGGGACCATTTCCAAGATTCGAGGATCTCCTGAGGCCCATATTCCGCAGCAGTATGATCAGACGGACTATAAACCTGGTCCATTCCAAGGCACAAACTCCCCCTCGGATCTAATCACAAGCATCGTGGGAAAAAATGCCCGGCTGGCCACAATTCTGTGTCCCTGACTTGTCCCTGTCTGCGATCATTTGGCGGTCGGCGGCGGGTTTGCCTTGCAGCAAGGGGCCGACCGACCGTACCGTCCGTGGTATCTGCAGACCAAACTGCAGTTGATGCGGGAAAGGGGTTGACAAGACAAATAAGAACTCGGTCACCAACAAGAAACAGTCACGTGGTCTAATGGTTATGATTTCTCGTTCACATCAGCTGAACGACCCGAGAAGGTTCCCGGTTCGATCCCGGGCGTGACTATTTTTGTCTGTCTCAGACAAGCATTGCTTTATAGGCCGCAATCGTCGATTTTCCTCCTTCAGACTCCCTTTCGATTTTGCTCGCAATTTTCCCCGCGGTTATGTATTACTACTCCTTTCACCTGATTTATGACGTAGGCCTGGTTCGCAAGGCGATAATGAAATCACTCTGATCTGGTCGTTTAGCGTTGATCATTAGCTTATACTTGTAAGCCTCACTCATCATGCTCACTGGGGAACCCACCTTTTGTTGACGAAAAATTGATCGTCACAGGACCTCGCGATCGTTCCTTACTCGGGTCCTTCGCTTTTCCAGCGGCTATCTTAGCCATATTGAGGACCATTCCTCGTGAAAACTCCTGCGTGAGAAAATTTATTCGATCATGGTGATCCCGCGTCGGCTCCCGAGCTGGCATCCCCATTGTTAACCACTTGTCCACGATTTGATCACTCTTCCATCGTGCAGCAAGACGAATATTCTCCCCATCTCGCCAGAGCTGTACCTCCGAGTCTCCTTTAGATGACTTCTTATGGCCGAAGAAGAGCTTGGATTTAGTTGTAAGAGATGTGGCACGTCTGGAGAACACTAGTTCGTGGGAGGATGCCAGTGAGCTCATGAATCCCTGCAGGGTGAGCACCTCATCGAAGCTTATCGTAACGCTTCTTGTCACTTTTTCGCTGTGGGAAAATCGAACCTGAGAGTCAGCACGGTACAATTGATCCACGTGTGATGATATGTAGTGGGTGTGGAATATATGCGGAAATCGAACACTGCGGCTGCCATGCTCGTAGCTGTAGTCAATGTCTCTGTAGACATAATATACACCACTGGACTTCCAGCCCGCGTGTGTTTGACACACCATGATAGTTCTGTATTTCTTGTGATCCGGGGTGTCGTCCACTGCGTCGTAGATGTGACCCGAACTTTGGGTCTGAGACCAGGAAAATATCGGTTTCGCGTTCAGACTCATTATAGCCTGCTCAAAATCCTCGGCTGCCTGCTCTGTCGACCATTCTATGCTGATCCCGATATTGGGATTCTTCTCATCATAGACATTGGAGTAAAGGGGGTTGTAGTTCCCGTCAGTCCTATCAGATCGTTCTTGCCCAGTATCTGACCACTTCAGCAGCGCCTGCCTCGATCCTTTTTTGCGGTTGATTTGTACACAGCTCAGAGGCATGAACCAATCAATACACATGGGATCTTTGTCAGCCACAGAAGAGCTGATGACCATTCTCCGGATAGAGCGCCATGCTTCGCCAAATGATCGCTCTAGAATGCGCACTTCACAGGATCGGTGAACAAGAGCTGGACTCATGGCTACCATGCTGGGTGCTTTGAGCTGCTCCAGTACCTCAACAGGACCTCTATAGATCACAGTCTCAGTAATTTCATCCGAGCTTACTGGCTCTCGGGGCCACACCGCATCGAAGTAGGCTTTCGGAACGCTGATGAACTGCACCAAATCGGGCAGATACTGGAACGAGATAGAAACGCTAATCGTTTCAAACATTAGCGTCACCAGCTCCGTAGACTTGGCAACCAAAAGAACATTAAGAGAGGCTTCTGAGACTTGAACGAACTGGGCCAAATCTGCTGGAGTGACTGTGATCGGGTTAGATCTGACTAATGTCTGTAACCAAGCGGGCATAACTCACTGTCCCTCTGAAGACAGAAAGTGCCCATCTGATTACATATGGTAATTTTGGGCTCACTGTCTCCCGCTCTGGTAGACAGCAGAAGCATGTACGGGGCGCCTTTCGTTCTCATGCGAAGCTTCTTGCTACCTATCCCGGCGTTGACGAACGTGCGGAAGAAGACCTGTTCGTCCTCATTGCCTGCGTCTTCGATCTCGACTGTAGTATAACGGGCATCGCCCAGACCCAAACGTGGATTGATATCACCAGTACTTTCCTCGGGCTGTATCGTTTCCAGAATCTCTTGATTGTGTGAATGAATGGCAACATAGTCTGGAACATCGACGGAGCTGAACTGGGAGAAGTCTTCCCTGATACCCTATAGCCTAGGTTAAGTGGTATCCAGCATATGTGCTCGAGCTACTCACATCCGACAAATCGGAGACCATTTTTCGATTCTCGTCCAGGAACAATTCCTCCGGATTGCCAGTTCTGAGCACCACATCATAGAGGATATATGAGGCCTTGAGCAGGTCAACATATGCTTGGTGGCTCGAGGACCACGATAAAGTTGATGGGCTAATGCTTCCACGATTATCCAAAGGACTTGGCTTTTCCGCGTTGGCAAGGACTGCACGGGCCTGAGACTCTGTTAGCCGTCGACTTATCGAGGTCTAAACGCACTGTGCCATACCTTCAGCAGCCACCACACAGCAATGTGTAACCAACCACTCGTGGTGAGGTTCCGCACTTCCTGCCCTTTGACCACAGAGGCATCGAACTTGAGAATGAGCTCAGCGTCCGGTTGGTGGAATCTATCTCGAGGCTCATAACGCAGCGATCGACGAATCTGTTCCCACCGCGTCCGAGAGTGAGGTGACATATCTGTATCTGGCGTGCCTTTTCCCACGAATGCTGGAGTCCGAGAATGCAGCACCTCTTTCTCGGTTGAGAATAAATCCATCGAGGGCATGTTGAAGTTCGTGTTCCCCGAGACGCTACTAGAAGGAGTAAGCGTACTTCCTGACATGACGGAGCCATCAAAGTATCCGGAGGCCATCGATTCTGTGGAGACCGACCCACGTGTGGGATCGTTGCTGAAGCCATTGGGTGTCTTCACATCTGAGTTAGTCGTTTCGAAGATAGAGCTTCCCTCTAGCTCGGAGATTCCGACAAGGTGAGGTCTTCGAGATGATATCGGTGGCGGTGGTGGAAATATAGGAGTTGTTTCGGCCTGTGGAGGCGGTGATGGCAAGGGAGACTTGTCTGCTTGTGAATTATCCAACACCGAGTTGTTAAAGCTTCCTAGCGAATAGCTGAAAGAATCAATAATCATGACCGCAAGCCTTGGCGCGACCAGGGTTCATACCTCACAATCGAACTCATGCACAATCCTAAATTATGCGCATGGGCGGATACCTCCGATCTCAACTCTTCAACTTGTCCTTGCTGGGTCGGCCAGTCCATCTTCTCCCAGAATTCCTTCTCGCTGCTGGCGCCAATGGCCCTGTACCTAGCCACTTGTTTATGGAGTGCATGCAGAGTCTCTAAGCAGGCATGAAGGGATGGCTGCAGGTCAACTCCGTGATCGCCTCTCACACTGTCAACGCTATTTTTCAAAGCACGAAGAGTGTTATGGAGGGAGAGTAATCCGGCCACGAGCTGTTTGAAGCCGTCAGGAGCCTCGCCACGAACAAGATTGCAGTTATGGTACAAGTCCCATGCTATTCTGATCAAATTGTATAGAGTGACATCCACGTTATCGACGGAACTCATGATGTCGTAGAAGTGTGTCCGAGGCAAGTTTCTGTGAGCATGAATGACCGGAGGCCGAGAACGATCTCAAAGTTTTGAAAGTGAGCCATATCTGTTCTCACTTATTCCAAACGCTTCCAGTGATGTCCTACCCAAGTGTCGATCTCACCTACGGTCGAGGGACTAGACCATCGTGGGCTAAGGGCAACTGGGCTAGGCTTTGCTGCAATAACTGAGCAATAAAATACTGGGAAGGGCATTCCAGAACCAAGTCTGGTCCATCGAATAGGGTCAGGGGGTTTCAAGAATGGGAAAGGTGGCGGAAGAGTGGGTTGTGTAAGTTGCGGTTGGAAGTTCTTTCAAGTCGCGGCCACCAGGAAGGCGACAAAGAGCTGAGGCGTGGTTCGCTTTCACACCTGCACCTCACACAAATTCCACAACATGTTGTGATCGAGTATCCCTCGCTTATAATCTCTGAAAAGGAGAGTGATAGGGTACATCGGGGACACAAGAGTGGATCGCATGGCAATGTTCAGCCAAGGTTGATGGCTCCGTCAAGGGTTTTATTTGGAAGGTGCGCAGTCAAGCCTTCCAGAACGTTTGGGGTAGGCTTATCTGCCACAACTGAGTCTTGTGACCAACAGCATATGTCTAGTCTTTCCTATATCGTACAGAGTTTCAAGGCCATCTCATTTTACTTATCATGTCGCATGTATCGCCTCGAGGTACTTTTCCTTCTCGAAAGCCATGTCCAACATCACAAGCATTAAGCGCAACCACTATAAGACGCGACAGGGATGCGACAGAACAAAGCAGCAGGGGTCATCGCCATCAATAGCCACTATCGTATTGCTGCCCTTGGCATTGGCCACCCGGGGTTCAGTTCGCAGCATTGATAACAGGGAAGCAGAGATGGATGGCTGGCATCAACAGAGTGCCCCAATGGCCGCCTCATCCCGATCTCAGATCTCATAGAGATGCTTGCCACAATCCCTCGATTGGTCGAGTCGAATTTCATGGTGTTGTCCTCTTATGCAGAAGAAACAGACAATGCTCTCTCTTGAGTCCAGATTCGAAGTCGACGATATCTCAAGGACAGCGCCCTAACGCAGTCGCATGTACCCACCATTCGGTGCCAAGCCACTATTTCCTGAACTCAGGCGAACGTCGAGGCTATGAGGCGCAGGGATGCTAATTAGTACCGTGGTGACCGTCAGACTATTATACTGGATCCTCAGCGTTGTGATCCGCCAGCGGTGCCTCTTTGATCTGGGTAAAGAGATAGCGATTGGAATTATTCTTCCTATTGACTTAGGATATTAGGGTGTGCTTGAACAACCTCTAGCAAGGGCCAGATCTTGTGGATAGGTGTCAGTGTAAAATGACTGAAATCCATTAGATTGTTCGCGCAAAGCTTACTTCTCATGAGCCTTTCGGTCAAAACACGCGATCTTCAAGCATACTGATCGATACCATCGACTTGCTATACTTAGACCGTGATACTAGAGTCGGAAAGAACTTGGAGTGAGAGAGCATTCTGAAGGTGAAGAAGACTAACGCGGTGGTCGCAACATGACTTGAAGCAGCCATGATCATGTAGAGAAGCCTTTGGTAGTGCTATGATATAACGCGAATCTGCTGCAATGTGAAACAAGGTAGATTCTGAGCCTTTGAATGCGGCCAATAAGACCATTATAAAATGAGACAGAGACGAAGTGACCAAGGCATGTGGGTGCGTGAGATTATAGTCCGCTCAACAATTAGAACAACAGACTGGAAAGCTTGAGACTAAGACCTTAGTCTGCCTTTGCTCGAGCTATGCGGAATCTGTTTGGTGGGAGGTCCGAACCATTTTATCACTGAACACCTTAGCTTGGTTTTCTCCATCAGCTCTTTTCTCTCAGTCGACCAAGGCTTATATAATGGCGCGAGAGTCTCTTCTGGAGACAGTGCACCCGGCTCTATCTCTTCGTTCTCATATCCAAATTCATGACACGCAAAATGAATACCACCACGCAGTCGAGACAGACAGACAATTGCAATTAGCAATCAAGCAGAACATTCCACTCAACAACCCCAGTCCCAATCGGGATGACATATCGCTCATAGCAGGACATGCGAATGGGATTCCCAAGGTCAGAGGTAACTCCATTCACCAGGGTGCGCTGTCATAGCCTGCTAACGATCGGAAACCTCAATGTAGGAGTGCTATGAGCCTCTTTGGGATGACCTTCTGAGAACTTTCCAGGGGAAAATCAAAGCTATCTGGTTCGCGGATTGCTCCAATCAAGGCGCCAGTGGAGTGCTGAACGAAGACAACCTTGGCGATGATCGTGAGACAAACTATCATATGCATCGCCTTGTAGAAAGAGATTGGACCTGCTGATCGGCAACCATAGCGAACTGGTTTACCACTCTCGAGACTTGCTGGGCATGGTGAGCCATTTTAGTGATCAGATCAAGCCTCCAATCGTAGGAGTTGCACATAGTTTCCGCTGCTCGCAATTGTACTTGTCCCTGTCTTCTCCCGGAAACTAAAAGCTTTGTCACTAATATCCTTCGATCTCAGTGTTCGTCTGTCTATAATGCACCCACGGCTCTTTAGTTCTCTCATTTCCCTCGAGCCCATGATTCAAGTCGAAGGTCCCAGTATATTAGGTGGACGAAGTCCGGCTCTCTGGGCCAGCACCCGACCTGATCTGTGGTCCTCATCACACGAGGGCGAGGAGTATATCCGTAGCAACCCGTTCTGGCGCCGCTGGGACTCTCGTGCTGTCGATAAATATACAATATGGCCTTCGTGCTCTCCCAACGGCTCTCTATCCACTCAACGCCCTAGAAAGACCCTTTTTACCCGGTGCCGTGACTTTGGCCACGACAAAAGCCCAAGAGGCCTGGACATATTTGCGCCTCAATGCAACACCTCAAATAGACGGTAGTGACAAGAATGGTGCTCTTTCCGGGGCGGAGCGCTGTCTAAGCCCGGATCTAGCCCTCTCAGCCAAGGAAGGTGACAATCACAACCGAGATTATGTGACAGTATGCCCATAGTCATGTATTGCCTTTGAACTTCTTTCATACGTGCGGCCACCAGCCTTTTTCATCTTCGGAGAGAAAAGTCATATCAATACCCCCCGCGCGAAGGCAGGACAAGTTGAATCGAATTGGCACAGGGCTCGGCGGAGGCGGGCAAGTTCAAGCTAGGTCTAGTTGGGAGCCTCTCACATGGCACCACTGGAGAGGGTGCACGATACAGCTTGTCGCATGTCTGACAGGTTAGATATTCAGCTAAAGGCATACTGTGAGGAGGTGGAGTTTCGGGTGCGCCACGATAGCAAGAAGCCAGAACAGAGTGAAAAGGGCTTAATCGGCCCAATGGATGAACGATGTACAGTCACCAGTGGATACTAAGCGCGAGATAGGAATAAGGCCGAGCCATCTATGACCTGATGATAGTACTCGGATTAGGTAGAGGCGTGCGAGATCACTCGTGTATCATTAATGCCGGGTCTTCCTAGGTATCACTTCTGCCACACGCAGTGTATACTGCTTCAAGCAGTACTCCGGGGTTCTGGGTGTTTTATCATCGTCATCACCAAGAGACAATGTCTATACTATGCCCAGGCGCCAAGAGTGCACTTTATAATTGACATCTCGATGACATTTGCACCGAAAAGGCCCAGTATCAGCTCTTATCCAGCTCCGAACACCGAATCCATTCCGACCAACGCCGAACTAGAAGCACTATGCATAAAAGCGGCCATGATGCATCTCTTGGAACTTAGGATTCTGATTCCAAACTTAAGCGATAGATAACTATGAGCTTACACTTAGAGAAGTCAAACCAATGCAACAATGACGCACTGGAGGAAAAGGAGTCCTCTTCCGCCTATTCTGAGAATGACCGCCAACACCTACTGCATATCGCAGACTCTTTTGTCTGTGCTTGTGTCTTTTGGGTGGCCTTTCGTCGACTGGGACAGGACTCGGGTAATCGTCAAAACAGGATGGATCCCTCGCAGTCTGTGCATTAAGACGTGTTTGAGACCATGACATAACTCAAGAGGATGGTTGAGGAGGGGGCCCAAGAACAACAGGATCGAGTTATCGGAGATGGCACTATATGCACACAAGGACTCGAACAAGAGGTGGGACGGTCACTCAGAACCCATAAACCCTGAGTATCAAAGGGAAAGCTCGTTGCCATTTGGATTGAGACTGACTCCTTTGAGAATACAACGAGGGTTTGAAAGACTTGCTTCGTGTCAATGAGATTGATCCGGGATCGCTGTAACATAATTCTGGGGACAGTAGAGTACAAAGCACGGAGATAGTATTACGACAACAAGGTGAGAGAATGATAGACGCAGATCAATGCGGATTATGAGCAGAACTGATAAGCTCCTCAGTGCGTGCTGTCGGAAAGTATACCAGAGAGATTTACGGTGTGGTATGGTACAATCGACTATTATGCCAGTAACTCTTCGTTGTCTTTAGGCGGGATGACCAGACATGGTACAAAGGACTCGAATGACAACATTGATTCCCTCAGAGAACGCCCTGGTGCCGTACGCCAAAGCGCGAGGTTGTTGATACTGCCTGCAAAAGAAGATTCCCAACAAGAGCTGAAAGAAGCTGGAAATAGCATGAAAGAAACAACAAAGCATCGACGCAAAGTGAGTGGGGCGCCACCATCCCCAAAACAGCCAAGTTTCACCTGCCTGAGGCCGCCGGATCGCGCATCGACGCGACTTTCTTTGACAGTGAGATCTCTCAGGGGGGGGAAAGACCACTTCCTCTTAAGCCTCAAGAGATTACACTAACTGACTTGTTTCTTTTCTTCTCGCGTTCATTGTCTCTCCCGATCAATCACCACGTCTCCAACCCGCCCACCATGACACTTAAAGACTCGGTCGAGTCCATCCTCACGACCGCGCAGTCCCACATTTCGAATATAGCCTCAAACCTGCACTCGCACCTGCTCAGCACCACCATTGCTGCGCAAACCGTTGATCGCATCACGAACCCCGCACCTGCTCCAGCCGTGGCTTTTCCGAACCCGAACGCAGCCGTCCACGCCGACGACAACATCCTCCAACAAGCCCTCCTGTACGACTACAGCGCGATCATGGCCCAGCCGTTTGTGCTGGACGTGCCCACCGTTTGCTGCCTCGTTATGGCCTTCCTCCCGATGCTGATCGCCTACGTCATGGGCCGCCGGCTGATCCCGGCCAACCAGGACCTGGCCAGCCTGCTCTTCTTCTGGCACGCGTACGACGCGCTCACGCACTTCCTGATCGAGGGCTCCTTCCTGTACCACTGCTTCTTCAGCTCCATCACCATCTCCGCCGCCCAGTCCCGCTTCGGCCCCGTGTTCCTGAACAAGCGCGACCGCGCCTACGGCGCCACCTACGGCGCCTCCTGGGACCCCACCGCCCGCCTGTGGCAGGAGTACGCCAAGGCCGACCACCGCTGGGGCGGCGCCGACCCCACCGTCATCTCCATCGAGCTCCTGACCGTCCTGCTCGGGGGCCCCGCCGCCGCGTACATCTGCTACAGCCTGTACCGGCTGTCGCACGGCCGGCTGGGCAGCAAGCAACGCGGCGTGGTTGTGGCCCGGACTTGGTTGGTGGCCGCCTGTCTGGCCACCGCCGAGCTGTACGGCGGGTTCATGACCTTCGTGCCCGAGTGGTTGGCCGGCAGTCCCGCGCTGAACACGAGCCACTGGATGTATACGTATGTCTACCTGACATTCTTCAACGGGCTGTGGGTCATCGTGCCCGTCTGGGTCATCTGGCGCGCGCACCAGGAGATCGTCCGCGCGTTTGTCGGTGGCACGCCCGAATTGATGGGCGGCGCTGCTGGCTCTGCTGCGGCACCTTCGCGGAAAAGATAAGTGAGATTATATGGACTGCATAGTTAACTTCACACTTGCGATTTGCGCCGTCCTACTTTAGACTCTGGATCTCCCTTTTGATGTCATATAGATTGCTGTCACCTATCATGTATATTTGGTGTATATACCCTGTAGCTAAAAGCTACGATTGTTGTTTCGGGGCAGGAGCTTGTGAGATGAGGAAAGAGTAGCCGAGGCAGCGGAAACCAACCTTACCATTGTTGCAGACATTAATCTACCGACTTTCTCTTGCTGTTTTAGGTCCAAATTAGCACTGCTTTCTATTTACCAAGCAGTCGAGAGTATGGGAGCAAGCGTTTGGATCTCCATTAGGATATGCGGTTGGGTAATGACCCTCGACCTCTTATACTACGGATCTACTCCGGGAGTGATAATATGCGGCTCTGCAGGATCTTATCGATACCAGCGCCACAGAACGACAGCAAAAGATTCGATCTCTGCCTAGCTCAAATCCCGGATTCTCCTTGCCCCGCTCCCATAATACCGTACGCACTCAGGCGCCTTTATAGTAATCGGCACTTGGCTGTGCAACCGGATGCTTCTCTCATGTGGTTGAGAAAGGTCCCCCCAAAGAGGTTGCTTTCTTTGAGTCGTCAACGTTAACGCCATTGCTGTCTGCGACTTTCGGAGCTAAACCCCCAGCATCTTATGTTGCTTGCATCGTCTCAATCATCCCTTCACTCTTAGAGAACCGGTGCATATCGCTTGTATGATGCGCGTCGTCATTCTTGTAGAGCTAGAGTACACGCTTTCAAACTTAGTATCGAATCAGCATGCTTCATTCGGTGGATCTCCACCAGCTGGACCGAAGAGCGGGGTAATACTAGACTACCTGAGCAAGAATTCTTCGAAGGAAAGGAAAAAGAGCATGGACTGGATATCCTCACCAGGATAGTCTTCGATTGAGCGCATACGCAAGCATGGTTGGGAGGTCTGTTGACCTAGACGGGAGCGAGGAACGGGGCTTCGCCTAGCAGTGCCCGTATCTTGTAGTGTTTGTAGTGTTTGTAGTGTCACGTGCTCTCAATCACGTCCTCACGTTACCATTCTTTACATACTCTATCAACCGGCAGTAAGTATTCGAGTCCTAGTTAACCAGCCTAGGAACCTCGACGGTAGTCTCCTAACGGCGGTCTCATTAGTTGCTTACCCGCCCCGCATTGCTTGAAAGTCTGGTGATGATGCTGATATCCACGCCCAAGACTCTCCAAAAGGTTTCCCTGGATCTACACAAGTCCTTCCCGAAGTCCTTCCCGACCACAGATGCGTCAGTCCGAGCCGTGCTCGTGTATAAAGAGGCTTCTGCGGGAGCGGTCCGGGTCAACCGGCCCCAACACACATCAACCCGTGCGAAGTGTTGTCACGGGACCGGACGAGGTGGGTCTGGCGGTTCTCCAAGTAAAAGAAGGTCAAACATGTATGTTCTTCGGAAGCCCTGTTGGTCGATCCTGCGATGCAATGAAGCATAGTGCTTGTCCCAGCATGTCTCGAGACGAAGTCGCCAAACCCCCTGCATTTGCGTGTCACAAGAAAGCCCTTGGTCTGATTTGGGTATGACGTCGCGCGAGACATGAGCTGTTTAAGATGCGCGGCTGGGTAAATCTCGCGTAGCTTAGAAGCTGGATCGTCAGGTGTACCTTTCGACTTCACCCGAACTATCGGCGTATCATTATAGGACATTCTCATATTCTTCAGTGATATGCTTCGGGAACCGCTCCCTGAAATGCTTTTGCATGGATTTCCAGGAGTAACCTCGGATGACCCCTGGTCCGTTCTGACGGGAAAACTTCTTGCCCGGGTGAAAGTCGAAGAGAATATGGCACATATCAAGGCAACTCATGCCTCAACTGATCCTTGTGGCCCACCAGCTCAATCCGCGTGGGCTCACTATGCAGCTCGCCCAGCCTCGACTCCCCGGAAGCCTCATGCATATACCCTGCATTCAGTGGCTGCGATGGCACACCCGGCTGGTACCCGGGGGACTGCATCTTCTTCCGGCGTCGCATCAGCAGCCAGATGGCGGCCGCCAACGCAGCGACACCCACCACCCCGCCAACCACGCCCCCGGCAACCGCCCCTGTATTGACACCGTTCGAATGTGCACTTGATGCAGCCGTCGTCGTCGTCGTCGTCGTTATAGAAGACACCGTCGCCCCGCTCGTCCCAGTAGTCGTTGCAGTTCCTGTTATCGTCGCCGTACCCGAACTAGCAGTCGCACTTGCACTCGCAGTCGCCGTCGTCTCTACACCCAAACCACCAACCCAAGAACCACGCTTAGCCCTCAAAATTCATCGCCCACATAAACCCCCAACCTCAGTTCAAGGAGGACGAAGAAAAATACCTTGCGCAATGACATTCAACGCCGAAAACGAGGCATCCCCCTGGAACCCCGCCGGCGCGCACCCGACCCAGGTCTTCTCCTTGACCCCGAACCCCTGGGTGTTCTCCTCGCAGCAGAAGTACCCGCTGTAGTTGTACAGGGCCCACTGGGCGCCGGCGCACACGGGCGGGTCCTCGATTTGGGCGGTGCAGTCGGTCCAGCTCGGGCAGCAGACGTTGTTGGGGATGCTGACCTTGCTGCCGGGGCAGTAGGAGCCGGCCGGGCAGCAGGCGTACCAGGTGTCCCAGGTGCGGCCGCAGCTGACCTCGTCGGCGAGGCAGGTGTTGTTGCGGCGGGAGGCGAAGCCTTGGATCTCGGTGGCGTTGGCCATGGTGTGTCGTCTTTTCTTAGGGGTGAGGGGGGGTTGTTGGACAGTGAAAGAAGAGGAAGAGTAAGATGCGGAGAAGAAATCAGGAGCGTGGGTGTGTGGTGAGTGAGACTACCACTACCATTGAGTTACCACTAACTTACCACTGCCACTAGTAAGGTCGTCAGGGTACGGGAGCAGAACAGGAAGAAGGGAGAGTGTACAAGTAAGAAGAGAAGGGGGAGAACGGGCCCGTCATCAAGAACCGGAACCCTACCTACCCTATCCTACCCTACCTACTTAAGCTCTGCATTTCCGTGCCCTTCCCCACTCCCCGTCTATCCCTGCGCTAAATCGCCTAAAATGAATCGGGCACGGGGGTGGAGAATTCGTGTTGACATTGACGTGCCCGTTGGCTGCTGACATTCCTCGCGCAGTAGTGTGATTGCGATCGGCGGGTCGCTTACCCTGGCGATGAGGATGGTGAAGGACTAGTCTTAATTAACTGACTAATATCAGGATGTGTATCTCACTAGACGAGGTCTGAGGTGTGCTGATCTCGCTACGGAGTACCGAGTACCGAGTACTCTGTGATCCTTTCATCCTTCTGAACTGACGGTCCTCCATCAGCAGAGTACTGTACAGTACAGGAACCGCTATCCGCCGTGGGCGGGCCTTCCTGCTTGCGCACCTTTACGGTGGCTGCCTCTGCCATTTGGAATATGTAGCGGAGTGTCCTCTCGAGACAATCAAGATAGGAATTAAGGGGAAGAGATGCTGTCCCAATGGGAGCTGACGTGAGACTCCTTCCCCTTCCCACCCCCCCGCATATTGATGGATGCAGACCCACTCATGCGGCTGAGCTCCCAGTCATGGCATGACCGAAACCAACGGATACGAACAAAGCTGTAAGATGAATGAATAAGCAGACAGCCAAGGTTCTGTTTCGCGGAAGAAGAAGCGAGCAGATTCCATAGTGTAGTGATCATACGGAAACCATCATGAGCGCTTCCTCCTCATGGGCCTCGCCAGCCTTATCTCATCCATGTTCTTTTAGCCTATAGCCCAACCATAACCGAACCATAGTACGAAAAATTCCCCCTCCCCCCGGGTCAAAAAGGGAAAAACTCCCACATGGGCCCGATCATCAACAAATCCTCCAACCCCATGCCAGGCACCAGTTCCTCTGTCTCCATCTCCATCCCGACAACAATTTCTGGGCTCATTGTCGACGTGGATGTTGCGGCCGCGGACCGAACCATACTTCTCTGCCGCTGCCGCTGCCGCTGCCGCTGCCGCAAGGCCTCCTCCTGCCGCGCATGGGAATCCCGCCACATGGCAATTCGCGAGGCTACCTTGCCAAACACCCTCGGAACAAGGGTCCCTTCCTCGCAAGCGACCGCGACCGCATCCTCCACCTTCTGCGTGAGCCGGTCGACCGTCGCCTGGTAATCTATGACCTGGCGCGCGTACTCCCTGTCCCAAAGGTTCTTTGCTGGGTCATCGTCATCGGCGTCTCCATCGTCATACACGGAGATGTGGGAGAGGATGAGAAAGCCGTGGCCTAGTTGGCACCAGAGGAGGTAGGGCATGTGGAAGAAGGCCGATGAGGGGATGGCGAAGAAGGTGTCGAAGAAGGATTTCACGGCGTGGAGACAGGCGTGCAGGGTGGTGAGGTGGGTGGGCAGGTAGGCGCTTGATTTCAAGTCGGGGTCGCGGCGGAGGGCGGTGCGGTAGATGAAAAGTTCGAGGTTGTGGTATTGGAGGAGGAGGAATGCTGTTATATTATTCAGGTTCGTTGTTAAATACGCTCCTGGCTTTCTCTTGATGCAGCGGGGTGGCGGGCTTACAGGACTGTGTGGGATCATTAAATGCAAGCGCAGGCTTCAGTTGTTCGAGCTCCTTCTGCAGCCATCGAATGGCCATCCCTCCATGTGCGCAGATTGAGGAGCCCGTCGACCCATGCGGGTGGTCTGGCTGAAGGGTACGGTGGATTTTCTCCGCGATGCGAGCAAGATCGACCAGACACAACAGGTATCGATCGGATTCTCCTTGCACCGCCGCTTGGAGGACTTGGTAGCTCTCCTCCATGTAGCTTGTATACTGCATGGGCTCGGACTCGCCCAGACACATTGAGATCCTGGCTGGGTCAGTCGTAGCATCAAGCAAATATGAAGCCTTCCGAGGCTGAGGAGACATACATCGTAACCAAGTAAAAGCACCCCAGATAAGCCTTGCGTTCTTCCAAGGTCCGGCCCGGGCCGGATGGCCGCTCAAACTGTCTGCACTTCATGTACGACAACACGGACATCGACGCCCCGCTCGATACATCTCTGGCTAGACCCAAATTCCTGCTCTGAGCCACCAGTAGATGGAGATCGTTGCACAGTTGTTCCGGCGAGAGGACGTAGATATGCGCCCTATTCCCACACACACCCCCCGGCAGCGGTCAAAGCTGTAATCATATAGTGAACAATCAAATGGGGGCACGACTCACCACGCAAGGAAGAGAAGAAACCCCTGGAAGAGATCCAAACTAGCTTCCCCGTTGACCACGACTCGTTCAACCAGGTACGCCTTGACCTTCCCGGCGATAGCCCACTGCGCCTCCTGATCCTGACAGGCGATCATGGACATGACCATGTGGAGGAACGGTTTGCGGACGAGAAGCTCATCATCCGACATCGAGGGTGCGCACACAATGAACGGGAAGCGCGTCGCCATGCGCTGGTGGAAGATGGCGACTGTCGCCTGCGATGTCTCGTTTGCCCCGCTCGAAGAATAGGTCTGTGCTTGTGACACTTGTGGCATCTGGCCGACGGGTGTCAGGCACCCGCAATTCGAGATGATGTCTGCAATGGGCTGCTGGGAGGGCCCTAGGAGTGAGGTCATGTTCTCGAGTTTCTTCTCTAATCGTCTCACGTCCCTGGACATGGGTAATTTAGCATCAACTATTGTAGGCCGAGAGGATAGACAACACGTACGTCAACGTTCTGGTTCTGGGTTTGCCAAGACTATGCGCTCCTGGAGCTTGCTTCGTGCATTCTTTCCGTAGGCGATGGCATCTACGTACTTCGCTTTCAGTCATGATTTCGGAAGTGGTTTATGCTATGCTTCCCAGGCGTTGCACACATACCTCTGACAGGCTTGGCTGCTGGGCCCGGGATCGCACCGGGTCTTGGCCTTGGAGCATGGCCGGCATGCTTTGAGTGCTGTGATTTCCTGACTGCGCATGACAAACACGTAGACAGTGTGAGAGTACAGTAGATTCCATGAGTGGGAAAGGAAGAAGAAAGCTGCAAGCAGGGAGTTGAAGACCGTAAAAGACATGAGCTAATGACTCTGTGAGCGGGGACGGGATTCCGTGTCCGTTGTTTCTGCCTGAGGCACCAGACCTTCGTTCCCCGACTTGGGGGCGGAAATAAAGGCATGAGTAAAAGTTTAGTAGTCTAAACTTGGGAGCATAAGACTTCGGTTGAAGTGGTAACTTATTTCATATCAAGCCTAACCTGTGATATATAGAGAATCACTATTACATTGAATATGTATGTGTCTAGTTAAACATGAACTCATTCGACTGACAAATATCACGGGCCTAAATCTCCAACGACTTAGTCTGAGCATATCAGCAACACCGCTCCTTATCAATCTCAGCGCTAGATCAGCTTTGCGTATGACGTACTACGTGGAACCTGATATTCCATAAGTAGAACAGCGAGCCCCGCCAGATACGGGTACAGTAACCAGGGATCCTAATGGCATCTTCTATCTTTTCCGACAGCGTCATCGCGATTGAAGCTGGGTAGAGTGCAACTCAGTCTAGAAGTCTACAGGATGCGAAGAATTACAAGTTCGGGAGGAAGGTTCAACTAATTCGTTGAATTATGATTTCTGATTGTATTGGGTATTTGCGCCATTCAATCATGGCAAATGTATATGATGCAAGACATGTTCAACCACAGCCAAATCCAACAACGTATGTACAATCCGAGCAAGCTTCAACACCTGGCGAAGCGCGGTTCAATGGTAGCCGGAGGTAAGTGTGATCGTACTATCCAGAAGTTAGTGATCGATCGTAGTGCATATGCTATATGACATGGTTGGCCAACTTACTTTACCAGCGTCCGCCAGGACCGCCTTGAGGGCCACCGTGAGGGCCACCAGGGCCACCAGGACCTCCAGGGCCGCCGTGAGGACCACCGTGAGGGCCGCCAGGACCGCCAGGACCGCCTTGAGGGCCGCCAAAGCCACCGGGGCCACCAGGGCCGCCGGGACCGCCGTGGGGACCGCCTTGAGGGCCGCCGAAGTGTTCGGGGCCGCCAGGGCCTCCGGGGCCGCCGTGAGGGCCACCGGGACCGCCAGGGCCGCCAGGGCCAGGAGGACCGCCCTGGGGACCGCCGTGGTGAGGGGGGTTTTCGTGGTGGTGGTGGAAGAGACCCATTGTGAAAGATAGGATAGATGATAGATGGTTTTTGTTTGATGAACAACTCGGAAGGAAGAGAGGTGGTCAACCCCTCTTATATAGACAGAAAGCCACCCGGCCAAGCAGTGGAGCCTTGCAAAGCAGACCAAACTTCCCCTCCCTCCGTCCAGAAATGTGGGAAACATCATAGCCACATACGACATCATCGGGCTAGACATGCAACGCAGATCGGGGCTTGGCTATCAATCGAAACAGCCTCTTGAGTCAATAAACCCCGATGACACTGCCGCTGACAAAAGTCCGGCAGGGGGGCGCTGATGAATTCTCGAATGATGTTGCCTAGACTATCCAGGGGGGGAATAGAGCTGGGGAGAGTGGGCGTCCCCGATCTATCGCCCCAATCTTTGGGAGTCTTGGCATTCCCGCTGCCACTCATTGATTTAGGGTTTTGCGTGCCTTTAGAAGTCCACGGGTGGTACGTCCGCGGGTCCTGACGCGTCAGGACGGGAAATGCCAATGAACCGAGTCACGACTGTTGACGGGGATATCTCAACGATGCGCAGCAATTGCTGCAACCCTTGAGATACAGATAGACAGAGAAACATACATGGTCTTGCACTGTTCCTCCAACAGCGTGGTCATCGAACTGCACTATGATGGTTGATGTTCCCATCGAGGGCGTCGCTAGCCGCTCCAGCGCCACCGAAAGTGGATAGAGGCATACGTACGCACGCAGCTCTACGGTCCCCACCCTGAACGCTGCAGCCCTTCAGCCTTAGGGGTAACCGGCTAATCGCTTCACCATCACATCATCCCATCTGTGCTTGGCAGTCCCTCTAGGAGAGGGGCGCAGTGGCACACTATTGTTTCCAATGTTCAAGAGCTGGAGTTGGGAGTATCTTGGCAGCACGTTTAAGCGATGCGATTAATTGCGTCGGAGGGAGCTCATGCGTAGGGGAAATATTGTCCAAATCGTGATTCTTAGCACTAGGATGTCCCATAGGAGAGCCGAGACTGATAGCTAGCTAGTCTTCCCTAGCGATGCTGACTTTTGTTCTATCAAAGCTTATCGAAAGGAGGAAGATCAGTTGCTCCGAGGACGATCGACGTGCCGCCCGACGATTTCTGGGGAAATGGAGCGCCTCGTCGGAGGGCAGGATCCCTTGAATGATTCTATAATAGGTAGCAGGACGTCATAACGTTCGTCAGCTGTGCAAAGGGTAGACTGTGGCCACGTCTGCCAGTCACCGACATCATTCGATGGGGATTCGACATCACAGCATAATTTCGTGATGCTTATCGGTCACGTGTCGTTAGTCTAGGCCACTTTGAATCCCGCTTAGTCATTCGAGTCTCCACACCTCGGGAAATTCCCGAGGATCTTCCTTGCGCCTCGGTGACCGACTCGGCAGTCGGGCTCAAATTCCAGTTTGGGACTGTGCGACAACCACCGCCCCCGATACGGTACGTGTGATGCGATCCAATCGAAAGAGAGACAAGAGACTTCTATCGATGACGGAAAAGACCGCTCACCCAAAGACCTCATGGGCCGTGTTGTAAAACAAACAGAAAAGACTTTAATATTACTCAGGTCAGGAAAGCAGACTGTTTATTCTACACTCCTTACACCTTACCTTATCCACCATTTTGCCAAGCTCAAAAAAGTTCATTGCGGAAGAATAGCCAAAACTAAGCTAAACAGAGTTACTCTAAGCTACCCTCCAGATACTATACGACTGTGTAAGTCCATCATCCCACTCCCTAAGCAGATCAGTGAAAGGCTCTTCCGGAAAGTTCATCATTGCCGGTCATCCCGCTCGACGTAACACTACCAGTAGCTGCCACCGATGGCGACAGTGTGTCCAACTGCTCCTGTGTAGGCACGCCCACAGCTTTCAGAATGGTTACTGCTCTATCTGACGGAAGCTCATAACGTGCACCCATGAAGTCGTGGTTTATCGTCCGGATTTCCTCTTCAGGATCCTGCCTGACCACCAACCCAACCTTATTATCTCTCACATCGTCCATTAAGTCCCTATCGAAGAGTGACCGGTAAACGTCTCGCAAACCCAACATCTCCAAGGGCTTGATCTTCGAGAGGACAGCGCCCATGCGCTCGGAATCCATCACGCCCACTGCAAGAGCACGATTAAAGCCTGGAGTGGCGCGAGTGGCACTGCGTCGGCCCAATCCATAAGGCTCATGGTAGATGAAAAGAGAGTAGGTATAGACGGGGGGAAGATTTACGGAATCGACCAGGCTGACTAACTTAGCCAGCTCTGCCGCTAGCTGCTCAACGGTTGTTGCTCCCTCTTGAGTAATTGCGTCTGATGGCTTGGTTATTGGTTCCACTCGTGCGGTTCTCTCTGTCTCGGTCTCTGTCGTGGGGAGAGTGGACGAAACTTCAGCTGTCGAGGGACCAGCCGTTGACGCCGTGGCTGCCCTTTCTGACGTCTGCTGAGCGTTTGCTCTCCTCCTTTCCCTCCTCAGCCTTGCCTTTGACTTTTTCTTGGCCATGTATTGCACTTCCGGCCACCTTCTTGGTGTCAAATCGGCCTCTAAAACGCAGCATTAGGAGTGCTCGGCAGAAAAGAAGATTGGTGATGGGGTTAGCTTACGGGAAAGCCAATCTTGCGCTCTTTCGGTGCGGTCAACGTCGTTCGAATGACGCAGTAAGCTCGGCTGAGGATGACTATGAGCGGAATGATCGACGAACTGCTGATTGCGAGGAAGATAAGATGCTGGTGATGGATAATGATATGGATGAGTGTTTTCGATGTGCGGTATAGCAGGAGGAATATAGGGTGGAATAGTGGGAGGAATCATGTCTCTGCGACGTTTTGTTGTCTTCCGGATGGACCTTCGCGGCCTTGAGGTAGGATCGACCCGAGACATGATTTCTTAGGATATAGTTGTGGTGACTAGATGAGGGTTGTTGAGAGATGGGGGAAGAGTGGTGCATTCCTCCTAGTCATAGCCATCATAAAAGGGCATAAAACTGGCACGGAAGGCGCATCCTTCCCTAGGATGGTTGCTAGTTCGTTGCCTAGATACCACTGGTTCCTGCCCTCTAAAAAAGGGAGCCCTACCCTCCGGAATTCGTTTCCTAACTCACGACAAACACATGGTTCGTGATATAGAGATGATGAGGGGGGGGGGGGGTTTGCCCTGAATCCATGGTTCCATGCAATGGAGAGGCCCAGTAACCATGCTTAACTTGCCCATCACATTCACCCATTAACCAACGAAAGAGACGGGAATTTTTAACTGCTTGAACTTGTTCTTTTTCCAGCATGAACTGGATATCCCAGTCTTTGTGCTGCCCCTTGGGAAGAATCACACACAGGGAACCCTCCAGCAGCCCCACGTGCAAGCAAAAGTCGGCCACCGTGCCTACATCTTCGCCGGAATTGAAGCTATACACATTCAAATGCCGAAGGCTGGTGACGGAGAGGTGAAAGCATTTGATGTTCATTGCTTCCCAGTCATGCTGCAGCCTCAAATAAGTGATCAAGCTGCGAATGTGTGGGTCCGTCAGGACTCGGATCTCCTGGCGGATTGCGACGGCCGTGTTGGCGACCTGGACCAAGTCTTCAGTGTGCAGGTTGAGATGATGTGCCACGATGATCCCTTTGTTGATGTTGGCCTTCTCTGTCAGAGATGACTATGGCACGTGCAACATAGCGACCATGTTCCCGAGATAGAGGTTGGGCCAGGGGGGCCACATGCGAGGTCGGAGGTTGGCCGCAAATGAGATCGTGTATTTACCCTCGTGCGGTGCTGTGGCTTGACCATGATGCAGACACACCGCAAGAAGAGAGGTCAGCACATCATGGCATGAGATGTATGCCGGGCCGGCCGCATTTGTCTCGTAGTAGTTGTTGCCAGATATCTTGGCGGTACAAACAACTCTGACGCAATTTCATATTAATTTCATGCAGGTCTGCGCACCACTGCAGCAATGGCTCAAAGCACCGAGAATTTTACCAACTCTAGTACCGTCAAAGACTAGGTGGTTGAAGCTGACGCGCAAAAGAATCCCATCCGGCATCATTTTGGCGGCAAATCGCAGAGTAGGTTGGGGCTGCATGGGGTGCAACACTGTCGGTAGGGGTGCGTACTTCTTGGAATTTCAATTCCTCATCGCCAGTATAAGTGAAAGTGCTCCCAAGTACTGTTACCGATTCATGAAAATGGTCTCGGAATTGGAGTAATGGTACAGACTGGGTTGAGCCAGAGGGAGGCCGGATGCAGTGAACGTTCTCCGGAGATTTAATATCGGAGGGAAATACATCATATGAATAAACGGAATGGTTTCAGCGAGCTTTCTGATGCCGTCTTGAAGTGGCATTAAGCCCACGCCTGGCTGCTGCAAGCTGAAAGAGAGATAAAAGGTGAAATACACCTTCGGGATGCTATGGTCGTGAGGTGACAGAAGGTGGCCCCCGGAGATCAGGATTATACATGTCTTCAAACAATTAGTCGAGTGGAAACAACAGACAAGAGGGCATTAAGTCTAAGATCTGATTATAAAATCAGTAATCTTGCGACTTTAAACACTTCTTTTAGTGCCTCTTGCGGGTCACGACATGAATTGTCTTGAGGTACCTTTGGTCAGGGTCAAGTGTCAACGGTCTATCTTATAGAACCGGGGGGCCGTTCGACTCCTTCCTAATGTATACTAACACGTGCCTTAATATCAGGATTCTCCCCTGGGAACCTGGGAGCCCTGCATAGATTGCTGTATCAGATAGCCCACTCGCTCAAGCAGTCATCAAGGAACCTATCTTGACAGATAACCAGGGTTGAGCAGACAATGAACTGGTAATAGAACAGGTGATCTGATCATGAAGAAAGTGTAAGATCCAGAGCATCCGGAAACAAGAACTGCTCATGAGAACCTCTGAAGTAGAATGGGGAGGTCGTGATAGAGTTTTTGTGTTGTTCCGTCTGCAACCACTCACCCTCCTTGGAAACCTCATCCTCTCCCCGAGTGGGGTGAACCGCGAGGAGAAATCCCCAAGAATTTTCGGAATACCCCAAAGCTGGATAGAGAAATACATATTCAATGTCACAGCTATTCTCCATGATTACCCTTCACTCATAAGTTTCAATCATCACACTTTGCTGCCTCTGCAAGAATCATGGTACAAGCTGCTAACCCATTCGTACTATCATACAGTTCTACCTATCTTGAAGTATCTATACGACAACCACTCCCAGACGTAGCAGCTCAACTAAACAACCCAACCTATAAACCGTCACTGCGGAACCATCTTCCTCAAAATATCCAACAAGGAACCGCAAACAGTTCTCTAACCCACTGACCATAAAGACAACCTAGTAACCGCCAACCGTCCGAAGTCCGAAACCTCTAAGCACCCGCCGGCTTGCTCTCCCCCTTCTTCCAATAGACCTTGGTTTCCGTCTTCCACTCGTAACCCTTATCGTGGATCCTGTCCTGATCGATCCAGACGATCTCCTCGACCTTCCCATGGGCGATGATCTCCGGCAGCTCGACGCTGTAGAAGATGCCAGTCTTGGCGGGGATCTTGTCGTGCGGGAAGACGAGGTAGGCGGTTCCGGTGGTCTGCTGCGCGTAGTACTTGGAGAAGGCCTGCTGGAAGCGGGTGAAGGTGGCCGCGTCAACCTCCTTGTACTGGCCCTTCTGGAAGAAATTGGCGTTCTTCCAGATGTCGCGCACCGAGGTGAGATGCTGCCCGTTCGCCCACTTGACCAGCTCGTTGATGGCCTTCTGCGGCTGGCCGGTGAAGAAGATAGCCTTGTCTTTTGGGGGTTGGTTGCGCTTAGCGTACTGGCTGAACTCGTGGAGGTGGGCCGGCTGAATCAGTTCTTCAACTTGCGCTTTGGTAGGGATGTGCTTGTCGCGGGCGGCGAGCTGCAGTGTGTCCAAGGCATTGTTGTTGCTGCTGGGAGCGGTGCTGACTGGAGCGGCTAAGGCAGTGGGTGCCTGGGACGTGAAGAGGAGCAAGGTGCACAGGATTGAAAAGAGGAAGAACAGAACATTGCCATTGCTGCTGGCGTTGTTGCGGCTGAAAGCGGACAATCGCATTTTGAAATTGGTTTCAAGAGCCAAATGAATGTCAAAGAGTCGGAATAGGCTTTGGTAAGTGAGAGAGAGTGTGTCGCAATGCGAAGTAAAAGTATCGCAGTTGGTTCTTCCATTTTATATCCGGGGATTCAGCTCAACAGAAATTGCTGTGCTGCGGTTTTCTGTCCCTGCTTGGGCCTTATTTCTTACATACAGAACATGAGACAGACGAGGGCTACTCGGCGGCCCCCAGCAAGCTGTTGTTAATGTTGCAGTCAGTCCAGAGGTGGCCTTGAGAACGATTGACTGGAGCCTACAGCTTCAATTTGTGTAGTGTTTGTTCGAATGAGGAAGGAAAGCCGAGATTCAGATGTTGGCATTCTGGGCCCAGCGAGGAGGAGAATCCTGGAAGATGAGATACAGCACAAAGTTCCAGGCGCAGAGACCATGATGGGAACAATAAGCACTACGCCCGCGGAGCAGGCCGGTAGCCGATGCAGGGAATAGGGTCCATATCCAAGAATCAGCACTAGGTGGCCTAAAAAGCACTTCAAGTCATCGCCCCCAACATGATGACAGACCATCATGGGAATTCTCAGCTGGAAATCTCATGATTGGGTTTCTTTTTGAAACATCAAACGAGAACGGCTGTGATGCTCAACACCAAGTGGAAGTTGTTTGTTGGTTGCCTAAGTATAGTCTTACTAAGCCAACTAAACAAGACCATGGAGACCAAGCTAGGAATCTAACAGGATTCTCATCCCTTTTACTCCAAAGGCGCAGTATCACAACCTTGCTGGTATAAGTTCCGAACAATTTTCGCCAACATCAGCAGCTCGACCCAGGACACCGCAAGCTCTCCGTCATTCACTCAGTGCAGAGTTCCAGCATCCGGGCTGCTTATTTGCATCGTGAAAAACGGAATACAACCCTTTCTTTCAGACATTGTTCTCATTTTCTGTCCTCTCATATCAGGACGCCCATTTTCATCATGGAGACATCTCTTGAAAAACACGTGCAGGAGAAAGTTGAGACAGACATCACCAGCGGCGATCTCCAAGCCATCCAAGACCTATACCAGTCAACCGATGCCGAAAAGCAACCCAGCTTACTAGCTCACATCGCCGCCCGGGCGGCGGGAAAATCTCAGCTCGAAATATTGGACTGGGTCTTCAGTGAGGGTTTTCAGGTCGCCGCAGGCTCCTTGAATGATGAGTTTTACCACCAAGCCTGCTACGCACAGTCCCTCGCCGTCTGGGAGACTCTGGTCAAGAACGGGTTCGATCTGAACGGCCACCACAGCGAAGTCGTCGGCGATGCGCTGAGCCTAGCAGCCTACTACGGCGATGTGGAGATTGTGCGCTTCCTGCTGGAGCACGGACAGGATCCCAACGAGGCGTGGGGCGGGTACGATGACCTGGAGCCCGCAGTGGCCGCGTTAGCTGGCGCAAGGCCGTCCGTGGAGATACTCCGGTTGATGGTGCAGCACGGATGGCGCCAGAGGAGAAGTGCCGCGCACATTGCCGCGGCGGAGCTGGGTAATATGGAGGCGCTGGAGTTGCTGGTGGAGCACGGGGCGGATCTGGAGGAAGCCAGTGGGTGGTGGACGAACTGCGGGATCGTGGAGGCGGATCGATGGGGCACGGCACTGTATCGTGCGGCGTACAAGGGCCAGCGAGAGCCGGTGGTGTATCTGCTGGGCAAGGGGGCAAATGTTCATTTCAAAGACGAGATGGGGCGATCGATTCTGTGGGCTGCAAGACAGGGAGGGAATGAGGAGCTGATTGAGTTGGTGAAGTCAGCTGGTCTGAAGGACGAGTGATTGACGGTCTCGGAGTGCTAGTTGCAGATAGTTCTCAGAATGATGGTATGATCACGGCCTTCTTCTGTATATCTTATCAATGTAGTTCATCTGGAAGGTGTTTGAAATGTGTTTCGCAAACGCCTTTCTTTCAGAGAATTGTCGATTTATTTGTCCCCTTGACATCACAGATTGAGAATGAAAGATAGAATAAGAAGTCAACTTACATGGATCTTTAGAAACCCACCCGCGTAAACAATTCCACATGGATGTGGATGTGGAGAGATAGTGAATAAACATGGCGAGTGGGCCTGGCGGGGTGTTCGTGGCTGTGGTGGTGCCTGAGCCGACTGGCCGCCCAGCCCAGCCCAGCGCCAGACCCCGTCCCACTGCCGTCACTGCAATCCCAGCCTCTTCCAGGTCTTCCTCCCGCTAACTTCCCGCTTGTTCGTTCCCCTTCTCTTCAGGTTTCACTCACTCCATCCTCCTTCCTGTTTACCTTGACTCCGATGACTCTGGTTGACTCTGGTTGACTCCTTTCTCCTCCTAACTCCTCCCACTCCCTCCAGATACTTCCTCTCTCTGGTACCTCCATGTCGACTGCACCACACTCAGGTCCAGGCCTGAGAGATCTCGAGAAAGAATTGACTTGTTCGGTAAGTTTGGTGACATGAACCACGGGAATGTTGCGGGAGAGTTAATGGGTTGCCCCCCCCCACCATGATTCGACGCTCTCCATTCGCCTCCCTTGCGTGCCAGCCCAGCTGTCAGAACTAGACATACAGTCCATTCTCTTTAAACGAAACAGAACAAAAACACCATCGATGGAAAATATGCAGGGAACTAATGACAGTCAACTCCACCTAGATTTGTACCGACCTTCTCTACCAGCCCCTCACCCTCCTCAACTGCCTCCACACCTTCTGCGGCTCGTGCCTCAAGGAGTGGTTCGCCGTACAAGGAGCCCGTTCCCGACCGTCCTCGTCCGCCCGCTTCACCTGCCCATCATGCCGAGCTGCCGTGCGCGACACCCGTCCCAATGCCACTGTGACGACCTTGTTGGATATGGTCCTGACGGCCAGTCCCGACCGAGACAAATCCGCCGCGGAGAAGGAGGAGGTTGCGCAGAGGTATAAACCGGGCGATTCGGTGTTTCCGTCCACGAATGCGGGTTCAGATGCGGAGGATCGAAGAGTGCTGGAGGAAGTGAGGGCTTTGAGTTTGCAGGACAGTCGGTCGGGATATCTTCAACAACAACAGCAACAGCGCTCAAGGCATTCGTCGCGGAGTCGTCACCGGCGGGTAGAGGGTACGGGTACGGATTCGGATGAGCGTCGAAGGGAGGAGGATGGTCGGTCTCGACGACGACGGGAAGGTTCTTCACGACGACAGCGGACGACAGCTGAGGAGGAGGGTCCGGACCGGTCGACAAGGCGGGTGGAGCATCAGTCGAGTTTGAGGTCACTACTCAGTTTGTCGGATACGGAAACGATGCAAGAGGAGATCTTGCGACAGATCTTTGAGGAGGGGTTGTTGGATGATATCGATCTGGATAATATGGGTCCGTCGCAGGAGGAAGAGCTCAGTGAGCGCATTGCGGATGCGTATCGTCGAAGGCATAGGCTACGAGCACGGTCCCAGCAGCAACGGACAGAATCTCGAGAGAACTCGCAGACCCCGTCCTCTCGGCCTCGCGCGCGATCCCAGTCCGTACAGAGGGCGGAAAATGGTACAGGTGCTGCTGCTATAAGGGATACGAGAGAGTCGAATGGCGGTCCCCCGGTATCTAGACCGTATCTTCTGGATCCGCTTGTCGCGCGTGAAGGGCACTCAGGCCATCAAAGACGACTGTCAGATCAAGGGGGAACTAGGTCTCGTCGGAGGACGTCGCCTGTACCGGTCAGCGCGGCGTCTACTTCGGAAGTTTTGCGGCCTGCAGCGCGATCGTCAAGTGACATGGTTGCTGATCGGGCCAGAAATTCGCAAGCTGGTCGCGTTCGGACAGCGGAGGCTTCAGCAGCATTCCGGTCACGCCGTGCCACTGCATCTGAACATAACGTTCCCAACATCTGGGTTGAAGGAGCAAGGGAGAGGCAGCTTCGCCCGGCTGGAAGATCGTCGATTGATTCTCCTCGAGTGGCCACGACTTTGAATCACAGGGGACGCGACGGCTCTTGGCCTTCAAGCCCGGATGAACCCTCTACAGTGTCGCCTCCGACTAGCTCTTTAGTGGCCGAGGTAGGTGTCGCAGCAAGGCAGGAGCCTCGTTCACGGCCTTCATCGTCTCGATCAAATGCGCCTCCCCGTTCAGCGACACTGTACGTGGAATCATCAATCAAGTGCGACCGGTGCGATAAGGCCAACATACAGTATGACCTCCATAAAAAGTGTCCCACTTGTAAAGACGGAAATTTCTACCTTTGTCTGCGATGTTATCGTACCGGGAGCGGCTGCCTCGAATGGACCGGCTTCGGAGCGTCTGCTGAAGCGGATCTCGCACGCATTCGCGCATCATCGACTGGTGAGCCTCGAGCTCTTATTGACACATCGCATATACTCCAGTCTTGCAAGTATCTTCGAACACCAGAATCTGCCTATCGATCCGACAGAGATGGGCGAATGGTCACCAACGACGACCCCGCCCGAAGATTGCAGACTGGGCTGTTCTGTGACAGCTGCCAATCTCCAGCAAACGACTGTCTCTGGAAATGTAATCAATGCAACGAAGGAGATTGGGGGTTTTGCAACCGCTGCGTCAACCAAGGTCGCTGCTGCACACACGCCCTGCTTCCCATCTGCCGCATCACCCGCGATAGCCCATTAGCATCGCCAACGAGGGCATACACAATCACACCAAATGGCGCCTCGGACGACTGCAATGACGCCCCTGGATCTGGCACTGAGATTTTCAAGATTCTTTCTTTCACCACAAATTGCGACATTTGCACGCACCCAATCCCCGCCTCAACGCTCCGCTTCCACTGCCTTGTATGCAATGACGGCGACTACGACATCTGCGCAAATTGCTACCTGCGCCTTGTTGCCACTGGCAAGATTCGCAAGGAGAACGGTCACAACGGCTGGAGGCGCTGCATCAAGGGCCACCGTATGATCGTCGTTGGCTTCGAAGATCACGACGAGGGGCAGCGCCGTGTCATTGTCAGGGATCTAGTAGGCGGATGTGCCTTGAACGACGACCACCTTCAACAGCCTTCATCATCTTCCTTCACCGTTCCGACTCCTACAAACATTCATGCGACTGCGTCGACTCCTGGAACTCCAAACTCTCCATTCTCTCATTACACAACTTCATCTTCATCCTCTGCTGCAACTGGAACAGGGTCAGGAATTGCCTCGCCCGAGTTCGCACCCGGCGATTGGCTATGGAAGGAAGGCTCGGAGCGACGCAAAAAGGCCTCCCGTCTTCGTCCTTGGCCACTTGGCGGCGAGCGCGATCGCACTTCTGCCCTTACGTCTCCTCCGTCTTCTGAGCCCAGCACTCCCAATACGCCGACGTTCGCTGCTCCAACCCCGCCCACCTCCGCTGCACCGGCATTGACATCAAGACGCTTTCCTCCCGATGGAGGCGTTGGGCTGATTGTGCATGCTCTGTGGTCGTGGTACCCCGAAGACGGCGTCAAAGATGAACTGATGTTCCCTCGCGGTGCTGAAATCACCGAAGCCGAGAACATCAACGATGACTGGTACTGGGGCTGCTATGCTGGGTTAACGGGGTTATTTCCAGGCTCACATGTGCATGTGGTGGATGAGATTGTCTAGTCGGTCGAGGCTGATGAGACAGGTGCTCGAGGTGCAGGCTTAGTTGGGGGTTGTGCTTGTCGAGGGTTGTTTCTTTTCTGTTTCTGCATGCTTCTGATTTTGTTTCTGGTTTCTCAGGACCGAATTACATGGGGAAGACGGGCCATTTCTTACGATGTGCATGAATAATGTAGCATATGATGATGATTATGAATTATGACTTACCTTTTGACATCATGATGATTACTTTTACATTGTGCTGATATGCAGAGTCTAAGTTGCATAACCATTCAGGAATGATCGATCTGAATAGCCTGCACCAGGAAATCCAATCCAGCCTCTCTAACCCAAAATCCCCTAAGCGAACCGAGCCTGACCCCCAACACCCATAACCAGACATTCATCTTCCATCCTTCATCCTTCCTGAACGCCAGAGGACGAGGAGGAGCCCCTCGGCTCCCTCACCATACTAAATAACTCGGCCTCCGCATCCTCACGCACCACCACAAACTCCAACCGCTCATACACCGGCACCCCGGCGCGCGTCGAATCGATATACACGGGCATCCCCGTGCGATCCGCCAGCTCACAGCCCCAGCGGACCAACATCGTCGCCGCCCCGCGCCTTCGGTGCTGCGGGTGCGTCACTAACATATCGAGGTCTGCCTGCGGTGTTAGCCATCATCAGATAAACTCAGCTCAACCCAGCCCAGCCCAGCCCAACCCAACCCAACTTAACCACCATCCCTCTCCCCCTCAATAACAAGAAAAAAAAAAAAAAAAGATAACAAGAGTGGGGAGAAATACAATAATGCCCCCTCTCCCCCATCACCTCCTTCCGAATCACCTCACACCCCCCAAAGAACCGCTCACACAAGGACCCATCCGAGTCCACATGCCATTCCGGGAACCGGGCGCCGCGGTGGCCCGGATCGAGATCCCATTTTCCGTAGGCGATGACACTTTCATCAGCAGCAGCAGCAGCAGCAGCAGCAGCAGCAGCATCCCCCACGCTACCATGCGCGTCCGGTGCGGCGGCGGCAGGGCAAAAGCCCGGATCAACGACCTTCCAAAACCGCACCCCGGGCTTCTGCCGCAGATCCTGGCGATTGGCCGCGGCCCACCAAGCGCGAAGACCGGGCGTGTCGGGGAACATCTGGCGGTCGGTGGGGGTCGTGAACCCCGCGTAGAAGATGTGGGTTAGGGCTGGGAGGTCGGGTTCGGTGACGGGGTGGATTTGGAGGGATGTCATTGTGGTGCGGTGTGCGGTGTGCGGTGTGCGGTGTGCGGTGTGCGGTGTGGGTGTTGGTGTTGGTGTTGGTGGCACGTAGTTCTTTTGTTTGTGGGCGGAGGAAGGGGATGGAGGGATACTTATATTACTTACCTTTGGACAGTACACTTCGTGTGAAGATGCCCTTGTGTGCCGGTAAGACGGAAGATTACTAGGTGAGTTAGTTAGCGGGGGAGTCGGACTAGCCCGCCTTCATCATCGTCAGGGTCAAGTCAGCGGTCAGCTTTCACCCCCGGCTTATCTTCAGATTAAACAGTCTTGAATGATGACACTTCCGCTGTCCCGTCCGCGCACCCGGGAGGAAATCTCGGTTAAGGAGCACTGTCAAGAGTTGAGATAGGGCAAATCCGCATCCTGTGGTTGGTGTATAGAGCTATAGACTGAGACTAGTTTGCATACTATGCATGTTGAAGACTATTTCTCGATTAGGGACTAAAACCCTTCCATACTATCGTTTCATCGACTAGGAACTATTATACATACAGCCCTTGAGACAAAATCTTGGAGTCCGTAGACAGCTTCGGTGTGATTCAATGTTCATACTGGTAACAGTCAACTTGGGACTGGTTGCTGCAGACTACCGACTTCTATCTTTGCGCACAGAAAACTGTAGTTCAAGGATCGATGATAAACAGGTAATGCATGCTAAGTCAATGATATCGAAACTACAGCTTCAACAATTAGTACAGGTGCAGATGAACGCTCAGTCTTTGTAGCCTCAAAATCAGTAATTCCCCTCCCGATCCTTCTCCCAGAACCAATGATACAGATCCTTGTGCGTGCCCGCATCCTCGACATAGTCGCCCACCATCTCCGCCGTCTCATTATTCCCCAACAGATTGGCCTCCTCGGGCTCCCCCTGCGCGGTCAGGGAGTGCATCACCTCCTCCGCACCCTGCTTGGTCTTCTCGGCCAAGTCACGAGCCCCCTCCCGCGCGACGTCCGCATACTCCTCAGCCTGTTCGCGGGCGCGCTGGAGCAGCTCCTCGGGGCTCGGGTACTTGCGCAGCGCGATCAGCAGCAGGTAATAGCTCTGCACAATGGCCGGGTACACCGCGTCCTTGGCGAGCATGGTAAAACCATGCGAGAAGAAGCCCTTCAGGACCTCCGCCGGCAGACCTGCGTACAGGCCCGCGACGCCTTCCGTGCGAGCAATATTGATGACATTGCTGACGATCGCCGGCGTGAACGAGATCCCCTCGTCCGTCTCCGCGTTACCGTCCTCCTTCAACGGGTCCCCACCTGAAGCTTTTGGCGCCGATGACGACGACGACGACGACGACGAAAAGTCATCGCCCATGACCTGCGCGCGGATCTTCGCCTTGGAGAACGGATACGTCACCGCCGACGCCGCCGACTTGCTCAGCGCGGCCAGCAAGAAAGTGACCGCCGGCGTGAGCGGCCGTTGCTTTTGAGTCGGAATCCGCCGCCGCCGCCGCGAGAGCAGCACATACTTCAGCACCTCATTCAGGAAGAAGGTCAGCGACGGGTTGAGCGTCAAGATCAGCGAGGCCGAGTACCCCGACCAGAACCCCCGCCAACCCTTCTCCGCGCGAATCCGCGCCGCAATCTCCCTCGTACTGCTGCTTCCCACCAACCCTTTCTTACCCCCAGTCTGCTTTCTCGCCACGATATTCGCCAAGGGCGTCGTGAACAGCTTTGCAAACGCCCCCGCAACCACCCCGATCACCAACTCATCCAACACGGGCAAGACAGTTCTCGTCCTCCGCCCGCCGCCATCACCACCAAATCGAACCCGAATCCGCCGCTGCCGCAGGAACTCATACGCCAGGAAGAACAGAAACGAGTCGAACATCGACTTGGCGGTGTCCTGCGCGAGACCCGTGTAGAAGCTCCCTACCCCGCCCTCCTGCGCGTAGATCTTGCGGGCCGCGTCGAAGACGCCCGCGTAGCCATCATCCTCTCCACCATCTTGCTCCCGTATCTTCGCCTTGCCATCTTCATTTTGTTTGGAGCTTCTCGTCTGCTGCGTCTGCAACCGCGCGACGATTAGACTTAACGGATACGTCGCCACATTGCTCAGGGCCGCGCCGATGGCGCCAGCCAGGGCGTTGCCCACTGCCGGCAGTGCCGGGCCCCGCAGCGCCGCCTGTTTCCAGTCTTTGTCCTGGGGTTGAGGGCGAGGCTCTTCGTAGCGGTGGTAGAGTTGGTAGGAGTCCTAGACGCGTGAAGGCCGCTTAGTGTTTGCTATCAGGTATGGAGAACTTATTTCCTAAGTGGAACGGAGGCCTCACACAAGCAAAGGAGGTAACGTACCAGCTCCGCCTCATAGGACATCTTGTATTTTGACATTTTTCATCACTCTGTATGCCTTTGAGCTGGATTGGTCGATTAGCTTTGGGAAGAGTTACATCCGCGTCAGGACCATGGGCTGTCTGTCTGTTTGGGGGTTCTTGTTCTTCTAGTATGTCAGCGTTGTGGTGATGATTGGCAAGCGAACAGTCTTCTTCAGAGAGACTTTATGATTGGGGAGATCAGGAGATAAGGTAGATGAGTATCACTCGACGGTACATCGTTCCACTTTGTTCTCGTAAGCAAGTAAGTGAGCCTATCCATCCGACGGCATGGTGTGATTGATGACCGAGGTTGATTGACCCGAAAGGGAGGAGGGGCCGGGGCCCATTACATCATCGCAACGGGGCGGGTCTGTGCAACTTACTCTGGAGCATGTGATCCTGTCCGACCATAACTCTGCTAAAGCACCGTGAGATCACAGAGAGTCAAATTTACGCAGTGGACTGGACCGACATCCCGCCAATACCTTAAAAGAAAACTGGGATCAAGAGGAAAGACCGTGACAGGCTGATAGGAAGTTCTTCATTCATCTATCCACCCAAAGAATGCTTGACGCGACCGATCTACATGCAGATAACGAGATCGACCACTTCGGGTGCTGCAACTCATAAAAAAGACCTCCCAGGCCATGATCCACAGTCCTGATAGGAAACAAAAGGAGAAAGATTAGAAACAGATGATATTAACGACCAATGCCCGACCAGATCCTGAAACCCCGTAACCCATTGCGCAAAGCGAAAAGTATCCCAAGCAAAAGAAGACCGAAGACAAATTTGTCGTCTCTCACGATCGTCGAATTTCATCCATCCGTCGATTTCATGGAACCCCACCCCCGTGTTCATTCCGGCTGTACTCCGCGAAGACTGGCGCATGGCGACAGAAAAAGAAAAAGAATACGTCGTGTGGGCGAGCCAATTGATGGGCAAGCGAGGAAGGACAAGTTGAACAGACGACAAGATATGACGGCAGTGAGATCGAAAGAGAATAGATGACATTTAACCACCGAAACCGTAGAGAGTACGGCCCTGGCGCTTGAGGGCGTACACAACGTCCAGCGAGGTGACGGTCTTGCGCTTGGCGTGTTCAGTGTAGGTAACGGCATCACGGATGACCGACTCGAGGAAAGACTTGAGAACACCGCGGGTCTCCTCGTAGATCATGGCGGAAATACGCTTGACACCACCACGGCGGGCGAGACGGCGGATGGCGGGCTTGGTAATACCCTGGATGTTGTCACGCAAGATCTTACGGTGACGCTTGGCACCACCCTTGCCGAGACCCTTTCCTCCTTTGCCACCTGTTGATTGAAGAGCGATTAATATTTGATCGGAAAGATACAAGAGTTGAGGCTTGGGATAGTGTGGCGAATTGAGGGACGGGGAGTCAGGCAGGGCTAAGATCACGTGCCGTCGGAGACACGATGCTGCGAAGAAGCAGCCTCATCCAGCCACAGCAGACGGGCAAACGACGTAACAATTCTCGTAGCAGCAACAAGATAAAGAGAAAGGGAAAGAAAGAAAAAGATGGATTACTTACGTCCAGTCATCTTGGCAGTATGTGCTTAAAAATCGAGATGGGTGAGCGACGAAAATTGATAAAACGCGGGGTGGATGATAGATGGATGGTCGACGTGACGCGTAGCGAGCCAGAGAAACTCAGAGGTTGTAAGAGGAGGGAAAAGGAGATAAGAGACGGTTTAAATAGGTTTGCGGAGTGGGCGGCAAGCGAGAGCGTGATTTGGAGTGACTAAGCGTCAAAGGGTGATCTGGAAGGGTCAAAATGGAATGGAAACGGCTGATTGGTGGGCTACGGCTGATAAAAAGGGCGTTATGAACGGCCGCTTTGGAGACGGGTGAAAGGGGAGCCCTGGGAAAGGTACTGTAGTCTACGGAGTATGTACGGTACTGTAGGTATGGCTGGCTGCCAACGCGTCCGCCTGGAGCCGCCTTCCCGCTGCGGGTACGCCGGTCACGTGCTCACCGCCCCTCTTCCCCAACTCTAGGCCTGGAGGCCTGGAGGCCTGGACCAAGCACCCATTGACTTCAAGGTTGCTTGTACTTCGAAGCAGCTTGTATATCGAACCGGTCGCGATGTGCAGTGAAGAAAGGGAGAGAATCTCACAGATCTAACGCTATCCTATGTTTATCGAAAACTGGCCTAGCACGAGCTTCGGCATGCAAATACTGTATGTTGTACACTACTTCGACATCTACATCTACTCAGAAAACACACGTGGAAAGTGAAGATGTTCTTTGATTCACCCAGTCAGGCTTCAGACTGCATCCGGACATCCCAAAAACTCCTCTCATCAAATGACACATTAAATAACGACGAGCCATCTTTGCCGGCCCCACCCACAATAGAACATGTATGAACGCTGGAAGAGGCAGGAGGAACAAAATGCTGGACACGGAGAAGCAGATAAGGCCGATGCAGATCGACTTTTGGAAACAAACGCCTTCTGAATCTCATGGACATACAGGTAATCAACAAACAACAAATCATCTGAGCAAAGTTTGGACAGTCGAGGAGAAACGATAAAAGCCATCAGGTCGTAATCGTCATCGTAGTGGACCACTACTTGGTTAAATGTAAATTAATAAACAGGATAACTTGTCCGGCATCATCCCGGATCCTCGCGGTTTATTACACATCGCAGAGAACCCTGAGCTTGATGCCCCTAGACCGCGTATCCGAGAAATGTACCGAGAGCCAATGGGCGGCTGAACCCTGACTGCTCGCGCTGAAATTTTGCCAAACAGCTTTGCAAATGTGTCTGTGGCACGCATCTGATTGCGGAAAGGTAGAATGACGCCGTCGGAATAATCGCACCGAAGATGGAAGAATTCACATGTGACAAGGGCGATGCCTGCCCATCCATACAAGCATCGTATCGTCCAGATACTAAGTCTGAGATATGTATCGAAATTCAATGGAGGAGGACGGTTTCGGGAGGATGAGGGTTCTTCGTTCATCCTTGGATAATTGCTGGCGTGTTGGTTTCTTTGATAAAGTTGTTCTGGAGGTAGGGGAATCCGATGTGACTAGGAGAGGAGGTTCGTGAATCGACACCATATGCCGCCTCGATGTGAGGTGATGAGCATGGAGAACCTGCACTGGAACTGCTGCTGGAGCTTGTTCGGCTTGCAAAATCCTTAACGGCCGTGGAATCGTTCCCGTCCGTTGAGAAGTTAGGAGAGCCGAAGAAACAATACTTATCCACCAGCTCCTTATATACTGAGGACTCGCGATGTGGTTTGCTCGATACCAGGGTGGAAGGCTTGTGACTGGACACAGAACTTGTTTGGTAGCCATTGCCGTTTGCATGGCTGGAGATTTGATCACGAGAACTCATTCGCTTCTCTGACGTGTGCTGATGATGACCATGCGGCGAGGGATTGGATTTGGCGCGGGCGGCCAACGTTGTTCGGTCATGCGTCGGTTTGGTCTTCATAGCCGCCGTCAATGATGCCTCAAAATCATAGCGGTTGCCAAAAACCTGATGGTTCTGCTTATCACGACGAATGGGAGCAGCGACCTCAACATCGTGCGGCTCATCGTCACACAATTGACTCTCCTTGGTGGCCTTGGGTGAGTTGCCGAAAGATACATACTTATCCATCTCGGAAAAGTTGTCAAACGACGGAGGCATCGATTGGGGACGACTGGTGGACACCACAAAGCTCCTACTGCGAGGCAACGCGGTGCGAGGCTTCGTGGGCTGCGAGTTCGTTTGCCCGACCTTAGGTTTGGTAATCTTCGTGAAATTGACTTGAAAGTTCTTGTGATGGTTGTTGTCCCAATACTCTTGGCCTTCGACATTGTAGCGTATGCACACAAACATTGTCTTCTTTTCAAGGTTGGTCTGATCATTCAACTTGATATTGAATGAGAACCTGTCATAAGCATCTTGGGCATGCTCCCGTCGGGATTGGTCGTTGTATTCTGCTGTAACCTCGGATACCGTTTTCCAATGATCCAAGGTGAAACGAGCCGCAACATGTTTGTGAAATGCCAAATTAGCAACAGCCACAACACCGATCAGGGTATGCTTGTCAGGAGAAAGATATAGACGTTCCAGGCGGACACGCTGATTGGCGCGGGAGGAGACATCAGTAGGGAAGTTGTTGAGCGTGATCTCCCATTCCGAAGTGCTGTCATGAGGTGTGTGGCGGAAAGGAAACTCCCCGGCAGCATCATAGTCGTCGACAGGAGATGTGTCAGCACTGACAGCCTGGGGTTTGTCCAGCTGCAGGAAGTGCCGGATATGCTCCAGTTGGGCATCGAAATGCACAGCCTTGGAAAATGTCGGCGTTCCTGGCATACTGGACGGACGCCGTCGAGCCGAAGCTGGACGAAGAGCAGGCCGAACGAGCTCTCCTGACTTCTTGCGTACCATTGGGTGCTTCACACGGGGTTCATCGTCCCGATCACTTTCTTCGGGTGAAGTAGTTAAGACTTCATCTTGCTTGTGGTCAACTAAAGACTCGGTAGCTGAACGTGAATGAGAGATTTTGCGAGCTTCTCGAGAAAGAGGCGGCCGCATATGTTTCAGGGCTTCGGCGGTGGAAGCAGCCATGCTTGAAGACGACGTGTCTTGATTAACCGGTCTCTCTGGTGAGGACATCCTTCTTTGCTCAATCGACCTCACGGCTGCCTCTAATTTTTCCAGTTGCAGATCGCCCTGCGGTCGATATGATGTTTCTTCATCACTGGAGTTAGGAGCAGAATCAGGAGGAGAGATCAGGGCCCCTGGAGGAATGACCGCGTCACTCAGGGGAGGAGGAGACTTTCGAATACTCGACTGGGAGTAGCTGACATGGTCTGGCTTTGACGAGTGATCTGGCTCAGGGAAGACGAAGGCTTTGCTATTGGAAGGGCTCCTCCGATGCCGCCGTACATAAGACGTCGAGGAGTAGGAGCGAGGTAGGTGTGGACGGGGAGGATGTGAGGAGACCACGGTGGGCGAGTTGGGACAGGAATTGGAGGTGAGTGGAGAGTATTCAATATGCTGCGCGGACGGCGACGTCTTCAACGGCGCAGTGTAGGGCATCCGGCCGACCTTGTGTGATGCAACACAGAAAGGGTGGTGGATAATGAATTGGTGAGAAACCTCCAGAAGCGAGGTGAGCTGCGAGAGAAAGAAAACCGGTCTTTGATTAGGAGACTAGAGGTCCGGGAATATGGCGTCTTTGAAAGTGGTCTTATCTTCCAGTCAGTTCCGAGCATCAAGGTTGGAAACGCAGCGTAAGACAGTGAAGCATGAGGGACAGAAGCTTCGACCCGCGTCAGGGCGAGGGAAATAAGTGGGAGAGAAGGATAGCTGAGTGAGTTGATGACAGAGCTGGGCGTGCAGCGAAAGGTGGAGGAAGAGTGGTGTGACTCGCGACGTTCCAGTGGGTGCCGATAAGTAGAAGGAGCGTTGGAGGCAAAGGCTTGGTGCGGAGGGCAGATGCAGCAAACAAGGTGTTACGACACATAACAGGATCCCAGGCAGTGGTACGAATGGAGAACGAAGCGATTGCGACCAAACAAATCACCGGGAATACATCTGAAATTCTCTAATTGCGCGAGGGAGGAGGGAGAGAGGAAAGAGGTTGCCATTGAAGTATTGGAAGTGGGAGGCGACGCAGGCGGAGGAGGAGGAGGCTGGAGATTCGAGTCTGTCAAAGTACTTACCTTGGAGATGCGACATCAGTTTGATTGCGACATTAACGAGATTGAGGTTGAAACAGGACAGAGACCGCCAGGGATATAATTGATTGGAAGTGAGAACGTGGGGTTGAAAAAAGATGAGGAGGATGCCAGAGGAAAAGAAGAAAAGAAGCAGAATAAGAAGAACGGAATTCGGGTTTGGTTGGCTGGTTGGTTGAAGGCGAACCGGGATTGAAGTAGATACAAAGAAGTGAATCGGGATGGAGGGGAGGAAGGGAGGGAGGGGGAGGGAGGACCAGGATTCGAAGGCGGGCTTGTCGGAGAAGGATGGGAAGGAAATGGGAAAATGGAGTGAGTATATGAAAGATGACAGGCCCAGGGCGGAGTGGGAAATGGAGTGAGCCGCAGTTGACGGTCGGTATAAAGAGATAGCAGAAGAAGATTAAGAATATTAAGAAGACTCAGAGAGACAGGGAGAGCGTTGAAAAAAGAGGATTTAATTACATGTCTGAAAATAAATTAAAATATCTGGAGAGTCAAAATAAGGAAAGTAAAAATAATTATTATTATTTATTATTTCAAGAAAATAAATGTCCCACCCACCCCAGCAAAAGATGTTCCTAATCAAAAAAGCTCGACATAATTCAGGAATGATATTGATAAGGGAGGAGGAGCTCGGACGTTGTTGCAACTTGCAGCAAGCAGGTAGTCTAGGCAGGCAGAGGCAGAAGAAGAAGAAGTCGAAGAACGAAGCCGCCGCCCAGGCAAGGAAAATTCGGTACGGTCTCGTTCGTCCTCGTTCCGCAATGGCTGTCTCTCTTTCGCTCGTTCATTCAACCACTGCCAGCCAGGGAGGGGCAAAACTAAAGCGGGCAGTAGATGGAGCGGGCCCGTTTTCCAGGACTGCATCTAGTTGCTTCGTAGATTTCGTAGATTTCCTTCTTCCATCGCTCCAGATTCATTTTTGACTTCGAGATCTCCGAAAGCAACAGGTGTCTAGCCCCTCATCTTTCCCTCTTGGTGTGTCTGTCTCTCTGTTCCTACCCCTCTTGAAGCAAACTGTAATCTGAAATGACTCCTTGAATTGGTTAATCTATGAAGATGAAGGCGAAAACGGGTGGTGACATGACAGGGGCAGAGAGCGATAACAGAGTGGGATCGAAGCTACAAGTCGGTACCTTGGACTACCAAGTTGCCGCCGTACCCGGAGCGGGAGCAAGAAGGGAGCAAGAAGATGAGAGGATGATGATGAAGGTGGCCGTGGTATTAGTGGTAAATACGAGTGCTGGGATGCTACTAACCAACTTAAAATAGGCGATCGAACGGTCTGGGACTGGGGACGATCCCAACTGTCCAGTCAATGCGTTCCGGCTTGGTGGATCCCATGAATATCGGTACGTCCACTGTCGTATGTCCGTACGCATGGAAGGGAGGGAGGGAGAGGAGTGTAGTGTACAGAGTAGTGAAAGGAGCCAAAAAAAAAAAAAAAAAAAAAAAAAAAAAAAAGAAAGAATAATAAAATAAAATAAAATAAAACTTGGAAAATTCAGAAAGAGTGAGATTGATTGTATGATGGCAGTAGGATTGTAAGACGGTCGGTCGGTCTCTAACAAATTAGTCTACAGTACTACACTCTCACTCAATCACTCACAAACTCCCCTTTCATCTTTCTACGATATACCTTGGCCTGCCTTGTCCTGCCCGGGTTCCTTCGCCTCCCGATCGCATTCTCTATCCCTTCGGTACCCGGATGGCACCATGACAATCAGGGATTATCAATAATGATCTCCTTCAATCCTCGTTCGGTTCGACATCTTGACCCCCCACCCCCCCTGCCCTCCTTATCCCCGTCATTCCCTCTCCAATTTGAGATAGATCTTCCCTGGTTCCTCACGTTTGCGCCATCGGGAACCCTAAACGCACATCATCACCACAACTATGGCTATCATGACTATCACTGATATCAAAGCACTTCACCACATGTGGCTGGAGTGGGGAACAGGTGATCTTCAAGGCTGCATGGCCGGAGTATTCTAGTTAGTCTCTCATATCTAGGTGGTTGTTCATTGGAGGTATGTGTGTAACGATGTAGGTAGGTCCTACTCTAGTCCAGTCGGAGAAGGTATGATGTACGTGCTAGTCCAGAAGAATGTCGAATTTCAAGGCATGGCTGCAGCGCTTCCGAGGGCTTCCATGATGTCGGTCGCCATACCGAAACGGTCCTTTCTGTGTCGGTCTAAGATTACGAACCCAATCTATCGATGATGACGATGACGAGTACGATTTGGATGATGGTGATGATGATGATGATGATGATAAAAGACGAAGAAACCTCTTGGCCACTCGGGAATGTCAATAAATTCACACCTTTCCCCAATTCCATGGAATCGGTTATCTCGATCGATAAGAGAATTCGGGGGTGTCTGATCGACCTATGCAAGGACTCACGTTCTCCTTCCCGACCGTGTCTCGAGAGAGTCTGAGAGCCAGCCAGCCGAGCGACCAAGCGAAGCGACCGGACTGTTACTGTTCAAAAGACCCTCCCGATCAAACCATGTCATGGTACAGCCCGCCTTGACCCGATGATGGTACGGAGCCGTAGGCAGCACGTCGTAGTACATAGTAGTGTTAGAGAAAGGAAAGGTTAAGGGTTTACGTATCAGTAACCATGGTTGAGTCTCCACCCCCAGTGTTCCCTCCATTCCCCTCCTTCCTCCACCCCTCCTCCGGGCCTTTTTTTTTCTCTTTTTCTCTGTCTCTCTTACACCTACATGTTCAGGGGCTTCCAGGCTTTGGTTAGCGCCGGTCTAAAAGTCGCCACCGCCCAACCAGCGGTTCCGGAAGTGTCTCTCGAAGGTCTAGAGGGCAAAAAAATGCTGGGGAGCGTTAGAATGCTGCCCACACTAAAAATCTGTGTTCGATGTATATTAGATCCCTGGTGTCGACCACCTACCAATCATGGTCAATATCTTCCAGCTTCAGCTGGCTGGATAGCTTCCCTCAGTATCATTGATTGATGAAGCGCTTTGCTAAAAGGTTCCCACTTCCATGTATATTCGGCCCTGCCTCCTGGCTTGTCGGGTTCCCAGCCTTGGAACAGTGACCCCAGCTTCCGGCCGGTGGTTTCCGTATGGCGTAAGTACCGATGGTCGAGTGGCCCCTCCGTCAATTGGAATGGAGTGTCTTCTTTTTCTTTTTTACAAGGAGGGGGTGAAAGCTGATCAGCGTGGGATTTTACAATTTGGGACATTGAAGCGAAAACTTTTACAGACAAAGATGCAGATGTGTGATGGACAAGAGAAGCAAGCAAAGTTTATAGGCGTGGAAGATCCACCTCGATACAGCTGCTGGAGCTGCACGTCTATAGTAGCAGAGGCACGCACAGTACGGAGTACTTAGCTAGATCACAATACAGAGAGTATATAATAAATCCCCTTTTGGGTGTGGTTTTGCTTATTCCTCTGGTCTCGAAGAGTCCGAAGGTATGTATGAGTATCATCTCCTCGGACTTCGGAGCCTAAATGACTTTTTCTACTCATACATTTCAAGTGGGGGTGGAGGAAGGACTACACTAGTCCGGGCTTGGTTACCCACCCGTTAAGCTGGAGTGGTTAAATTTGATGGATGTGCTAAGCACTAGCGTCGTTCGGGCCAACGATTGATTTTCCAAGGAAATTCCCGGGCTATGACATCAGTTACCTGCACCTGCTGGAGCACTGTTTGCCGGGTCGAAGGTCGAGACGCATTCTTGGTGGTGTCAGTTCTCCAGTCGTCACGTTCAAAAACTTCTGGAGTCTGCACAGACCATGAGGGGAGTAGTAAATTTCACTGTCCTCTGTGCTGCCTTGGTCTGGCCAAAAAGATTGGCCGACTGCTCTGCAACCGAGAGCCGAGACACAGAGGATGGAGAAATGGAGCCTGGAAATGAACGCTTGCTTCCGTTGTCGGGCGATGACCCTTTTAAAAGTCTCGATGACCCTCCCTATGTCACATTTCTTGGCACTCGAGGCCCATCATCGATATGAATGATATGACTGATAACCAGTAACGATAACCACGATCGGGCTATAATGCTGTCCCATCGGTGCGGGATCGGACTACGCACAGGACCACTTTTGCCACCCAATTGAACAATCTGACACCCTAAATAAAAGACTTCATCTTCGCTCAAAATGCTCCGTACATGGTACATATTTTTGTCGATTATTCGAGGAGTTTGTATCAATGGTGCGACGTGCCGCATGTAGATTTAGCGCATTGATCAATAAGACTCGGCTAAGACGATGTATCTCCAATATCATGCAATTCCTGTTTCCAAGTAGGGTTTGTGTATAACTGGTGTAATGTCCAGACCTCTTTTTTCATTAATTAACCTTCTCGCTAAAATCTGTAGCTGAGGTGAAGGGCTTCCGCCCCCATCAGGATAGGCCGGGGATCTGGCTCGGTCTCCCCAAAATAGGTAGGTATATCGTTCACTGCACTGCACCTCTCCACCACCACCACCACGGCTACTTTATCAAAACACGGATCATCCAGAACGAGATCGTTCGACTGTACCTGTCGCTCTACCTTCATTTTCTCGTTTTGAAGGGCATTTCTATCTCGGGCGGGCGCTTGTCTCACCCACCCCCATGCCCCATGCCGGTCTTATCTTGTCTCGACTCACCGCACGACAGGGCGCCTCCGGTTCCCCGGTCCCCCGGTCGGTCACCTCCTCTATTGCGCAACTCAATTCGCTCCTCCCCAGGACATCATGTCTAAATTGCGACAAGCCACGGCGGAGACTCAGCATCTCTCTCATCCATTAACGGGACAGCAATCTCCTCTGGGCTGATTGACAGGCGGACTAACCAAGTCGACTGGACTGCACATAACGACTAGACCGACCAGACCGTTCCTGCTGCATGGGGGGGGGGCGACATGAGAACGAGAAGATACTACTGCAACTCTGGTCTCTTGGCACTTCCCCAAGCGCGATCGACCTTCCCGCAAGGACCTCTCCGAGCTTATGAGGTTTGGTTTAGAGACACCTAATTTGATTGCGCCTTGCACATTCCTGCAGATCCAGAAGCATACTAAATTTCTAGCATTCAAGCCATCCGCTGCGTCGCTGCTCAATCTAGCCCCAATACTCACACCGTGCTGACCGTCTGTCCTTTTCCTCTCAGGTTTTCACGCAAGACCGGGAGAGAGAAACAAATTGAACCCCTGTTCTTATTAGAAACGTGGCCAGAAGGATATGCTTTTTCTTGAGGGCGGAGGGAAGCAGACCAACCTGCAGATAGAGGATGTAACTGTTATCGTGTTATCACCGAGCACAATATACAATGCCTTTCTTAGCTGACTAGGCCTTCTGGTGGGTTCCCACTGCAATTGACGTGCATCAAACTAAATTCCCACTCAGCCGTCCGAGACTCCAAGCCCCCAAGCCCCCTGAAACTAGCAGAGTTTGAGACTTTGAGCACTGACTTGGAATATAGACCTTAGCTTTCCCCTCTTTCTAACCTTCATCGTGCTAAAATCTGCTAGTACTGTGGCAGCTCTGCTACAGTTGGCACTACGGCGGGTGGTCGAGCGCCCTGGCGGAAAGGCGGCGCCGAGTAGCACCACCGTAATTCGCTGATCGGCCCCTACCGCCACGTTCGAGCCCTGGCGTCTTTTTAGTCTTTAGTCTCCGACTTCCTTCTCCTCTTTTCTCCTCCTGCTCCCAGCCCTGTCAAAGTACGGGCGTCTCCAAAATCAACAAATTTAACTTTTTATGTGTCAAAGCTTACGAAACTTTCCGCACTAGGCGGTCAACAAAGTCTGTCAACTTTCTCTGCTCGTATCTAGAGCTTGTCCCGCGAGATCAGATTGGTTCACCGCGGCCAGGGTATAACATGACAGAAGTGGAATCCAGCCCATTTCGACCCGCACAGGATATCTTATTTTCCTTGTCAACGGAAGGTTGGTGGAGGATTAGCAGCAGCAGCAGCAGCAGCACGCGATACAGCTTCAGTTTGATCCGATAGCCGACGTGGTCTCGACCTCCTCGTTGCGTCGCAAGCTCCAATGCTTTGCATGCAAACTAGGAATTTGTGGAGGTGCTGTCCCGCACGACTGTCTTCCGAGCACTGTATGAAGCTGGGGACCCCATGGGGGATCTGTCTTCATGTTTTGTTGAGCTGCGCTGCCCTCGTCGAAATGAATCCCTTAGGGTGATTAGGATGACCGATTGGTTGTTCCCATCATTCTCTCGCCGAACTGACGCCGCGACGGCTATGCTGTGTATCTTGATGCAGGGACTATTGCGTGCTGTTGGTTGTCGCCGGCTATTGAGCTTCACGAGCCTTGCGATGAACTCTCGGACTCGGCCGTGATTGTTTGCCCTTAGAGATAGGCGGGGTTACTTAGGTGACTTTCGTTACCCGATAACCGCAGCTCTCGCTGAATGAGCAGCTTTGGCCTGCCGCGAGTAATGGGTTGCATGGTAGAGCGGAGATTTGAATTTGTGTAGTCGTGGACCACATGATTGTTGATCACTGGGGTACAGGAAGGAGTCCGTGTCCGTAGGGTCAGTTGCGCGGTGACAGACATCGTTCGTCGGGCTAAAAACCCAGGAACTACAGACCTGCGGGGGTGGTTCGGGACATCACGGAACAACAGCGAGGATGGACAGGCCCTTGCGTGGTATTTGGCCCAAGATGCGTGGTAATTACTCTATATCACTCTATCACAATGCCCAAGGCTGGCGACTGCCGCCATAACCCACTGACACACAACACTTATCAGCTCGATCCGAGCATGGACCAGAGTTCTGTCCCCGTGATCTGCGTTCCCAGGAGTTCCGGTCAGAGTCACACAGGTGGTAAACGCGTCTACCATATTGATGTTTGCGGAGAATGATCTTCTGGGCGAAGTTTGTTTGCTCTGTTGTAAGATAACGCAATCATCAACATGATATGGCCGATGAATTCTGATCTCGAGGGCAGCTGAACTCACGCATGCAAGATAAGGGCGGGTAGTAGCCCCCCATTTGGAAGTTTGCCGTGGGTTTGATGCAGGCAATGGGTACCTCGGGCATTATCCTCGAAAGCTTGTAAATCACTCTAACCCGTTGATCTTTGATCGTGGTGGTACAGCGTGCTACTGAAATCCTTGCTACTTCAGTCAATTATCCGCGATGGCCACGGAAGAAATCCTGCGGTGTCAGTCTCCATCGAGGAAGGAGTCTTAAGATAGAGCTGACCTTCTTCCGCCTTTAGTTCTTCCTTTCTACGAATGGCTAGATACCCGATATTGGCCTAATGACTCTACTTCTGTAGCCCTTCTGGTGGTTAGACTCTCACTTTGCATTGAGAGAGGGTTCGTAAGCCTATAGGCCTCTAGAGCCTTAGGCCACTTGCTCTTAGCCTGTGGTCACTGCAGAAAATCACCGGTTTCAACTATATCTCCAGTGCGATACTCGGATTATGTCTTGCTAAGCTCCATGCATACAATCTGGGGTTGAAGTCCATCTCTACTTAGTCTACATCCACCATGCAGTAGATACTGCGGAGAAGATCTCCGCAGCTTCATTGTGTGCATCAATGTGATATGTCTGTAGAAGCAATGTACATACTCCGTACTATATAAAGTGTACTGTACTGTACTGTTCTGTTGCCGGGCTAGCAGCTTGGCTGTATGATGACGTCATCATCTATCTCTCCACATATTCTGCTGCCTTTCACCGTCAATACTCACTGCGGTGGGCTAATCACGTGGCATCTGGCACTGTCGTCATTTCCCAATTGTTTCCGCCGAAAGTGCATGACTTCCGCTCGCTCCTCATTCTTCATTCTCCACATTCCCAGGCCAAGTTGTGGTTGACCCCTTGGATCTGATCACTTCGCTTAGCAGCCCACCCCCACAAGTGAGGAGGGAACGAGACGGGAGAGAGGGGATCCGCGGAGAATACAGAGAGACGCAGTAGACTGAAGCCTCTTCGAACAGAGAGGCTGTCACAAACACGGATCAGTCGGAAGGGCAGATCTATCTTTGAGAAATGGCTGTTCATGCCCAGCAGCAATGCGATCTAACGCACGTTATACACTTACTAACCACATTAGCCAGCAACAAATAACCCCGGGGTTGACCATCAGCGCAGCAACTAACGATACAACAAGGGATGGGTGTGCATATCCGACCAACCGCAATCTGCAAACACACCGCGCCAGTACACATGACAGCTACCTAGTTGTACCCCCATGCAACAGACATCCAAGCCGTCCGTCCTGTCCACCCCGCTCCAAAACCTTCAATTTCATTGATCTCGGGCATTCAGACTGTCAAGCTTGACCCGGAGGAGAGTGTCCCATTAGCGCGGGCTTCATCCTTCCGCCACGCAAGCCTGGACGGTAATGCCACTGGACCGGGGGTCCCGTCGAGCACAGACACCACTTCTTGACCAGCAAGGAAGAGAGCAACGCCTAGGTTAGCAACGTGACAAACATGCCATACACATTGTCTGAGCGCGCAAAACCCCTCCTCCCCCCTGCTGTGTGCGAGTTTCAGTCCGACTTAT